AGGATTTTGAGTAATTTGATTTTGATTGATTGGTACTTGACTTGTAACAGTCATTTGAGTTGGCATGTGGTTTAATTGATTGAAGGAACTTTGTGGATTTTGAAAATTGCTTTGTTGACCATAGGCAACTACACCGGGAACTTGTTGCTTATATTGTAAAGATTGTTGATTGAACATACTACCTAGAATGAAATAATAAATCGTATATTACTTCTAATGTAAAAAATATTATATATATATATAAAAGTTCAAAAAATCTATATAGTACCAGAAACTCTAAAAATTTGTTGTTGAGGGCTTGGTGTACCATACAAAGCTAAAATACTGTCTTTAGTCATTTTACTTTTTTCTTGAGATAATGGAACTGGCTGATCAAAGAAGTTTTCTTCTTCACTTTTACTTGTTGTTGCTTCATTTGTAGTATTACCATCAGTTGTTGGTGCTGATGTTGGTGGTGCAGATAAAAATGAAGAAAAGATATCATCTCCAGATCCATTTGCACTTGGTTGATTGGTAGTTGGAGCATCTGAAGATAAAGATTTTCAAAAACATTGTATATGTTATATCAAATAGAATAACTTACCAAGGCCTAACAAATCTAATGTTGCAGCGTTACTTGTTCTTCCTAACTTAGGACTGACAGAACTTAATGGTTTTGGCAGCTGTGGCACTACTTCAGGTTTTTTTACAGGTGGAAGTACAGCCTGATTGGTGCTAGATTTTGATACTTCTTTTTTTCGTCTACGTTGTTTTTCGGCTTCTTCCTCAAGTTCCTTATCCCAATTTACCTATTTATGATATTAAAAAAAGTATTATGTATTTTTCTGTTTCTATATATACTGCTAAAAAAATTTCCATTTTTTATTATTTATATTTAAATAAAAAGATATGTTTGTTTATGTTTTAATATATCTATTCATCATATATTATTTTACCTTTGGCAAAGCAGGTGGTACCCATTCTCTTGCAATGTATTTTTTATGTTCATATTTCGCGCGTATAAAACTTTCTAAACTACAATCAGTTTGAGGTCTTCGGAAACTATCTGGAAGATTAGCTTCGTATACTGCACGCGCTCGAGAATTTCCCATTTGTTGTAGACTCTGTTAAAATAGATATTATAAATTAAAAAACGTAATAAGTTTTAATACTTTGAATTTTATTGCAAATGAAAATAAATTTAGTTCACATTTCATTTTACTATTATTTTTATATAAATTTTAATATTAAATAATTATATAATTAATACTGAATAATAATATTATATAATATTAAATATTAAATAATTTTTCCCATTGAAGATATTTTATATTTGATGATGAGTACATATACACATAGATTGCAGTGACATCTAGTAAAATATTTTTCAAATCTTAAAGAATCCAATCATACTTAATCGATAAAATCGTTATAAAAGAATTTATTTTCTATGCTATACAATAGAATTACTAGGAATTAAATGGAGTATACATTTTTTAAATGTATCATATATTATCTTATCTTTAAGATAATTATAAGAAAATTCTCAGGTAAATTTTCAGATTTATCATAAAAATTGATTGTATGTTTAATATCATAACAATATCACCTCTTTTCTATATATATAAAGAAATGAATTTAACAAAAATATATGCATATGTATTATCATAAAAAGAAATAACTATATGTCTTTGTTATTATGTTTTACAAAAAGAATTGTTATTATTCGAATAAAAGTATATATTTAAAGCTATATTCTTATCATTATAAGATTTAAAAACAAATTTAAGAAAATAGATGTAAAATTATTTGCAATAAATAATTTTATAAAAAGTTTATATAAAGAACATTAATTATAAGTATACCACAACTTGCTCTGGTGTCCATGTATCCAAATTAACAGATTTAACTTTGCTTATATGAACACCAAGATTTCTATGTATCCCAGCACAACGAATACATAAGAATATACCTAAATTCCAACTAGCCCATCTTGGCCCTAGAAAAATATAAATAATGATGCACATTTTATTATAATTTAGTATAAAGACATTATAATAACTTTATAAATCCAGAATATATTTTTATTAATTAACAAAACAAAAAGAAAGAAACAGAAAGTATAAAAAGGAAAAATATAAAAATGATCTTTATGTAGAAGAAGCAAGAAAAATGTGTATGTGTCAAAACTAATAATTTTATCATACATACGTAATATTGACAGGCGTCAAAATGAGGGAACATTAAAAAAAAAAAAAAAAAAAAAAAAAAAGAAAAAAGCTATATAGATTACACTATAATCGTAATAAGAATTTATTGAAATTTTTTGATTTTTGCTTGAGAGTATGAAGTGACGTTAACGCGTTATTACTGTCATTCGGTTCGTAGCGAAGAAATTAAAAATCCATAATCGTCTTGGAAAAGTGAACGCGGAATTAGGTCGAAGGAAAGTAACGAAATCGATGAATTCTATTATAGAAATGTCGTTAGATTTATAAGTGTTCGTTCATTTTCAAAATGATAAAAGATTTTATAGTTAAATGATTTTTGTATCGTTCACTCGCGCATATCACGAGATATCCTTTGGAAATTCTTGACGACAAACGAACCTTTCGCATCGCAGTCAACACAGTACTTGTTGTCTTCGTCTCTTAACATTTGATTTAAGAGATTTTGACATTTGTCTTGGATTTGTTTGGCACGTTCTTTCTCAAGGCGGGACGTCATTCTTGCGGCGGATCCACGTAATGACTCTCACCGTACACGACTCCAAAACAATGTTTTTTCTTTCGCGACGCGGACATGCACGATCGAACAGTCCAGGGGTAGAGTATGGTGCAATGGCCCAGCGGACGCCCCCAGTCGTTCTTATTGCCAATTAGGAAAACGTCATGAATCTTGGAAGGATTTCATTGGTTCTTTTAACAAGCATAATCAAGTGATACAATAGATAGTGTTACGAATAGAAAAATTTATTTAATTAGTCCTAATAATTTGTATTTTCTGTTATAAATTGATATTTTTAAATAATTAAGTTTGTTATATCTTTCCTCTTCAGTGCCATTATATCTTAAGTTAGCGCTACGTGGCGCTTTAAGCTGATTGGTCGATTCAAGAAGCAGAAGCCAATTGTATGTTTCGTATTTATTCGGCGCGGGATGTATAATACTTTTAAAAGTTCAAACCATATATATGTTGTGTGTAATAATTTATTCAATGTTACATTCGATATAACATTTCTATGTTATTTTAAATTATATTTAAATATTATTATATTAATTTCTATAATATTGTAGAGATTATATAGAAATTATATATATATAAAATTATATATATATAAAATTATATATATATAAAATTATATATATATAAAATTATATATATATAATATATATGTATATATATATATAAAATTTATATATATAATTTATATATATATAATTTATATATATATGTATATATATATATAAAATTTATATATATATAATTTATATATATATGTATATATATATATATATATATATATATATATATATATATATATATATTTATAACAAATTCTGATATACTTCGATATTTCAAGTGTTTTCTTTTTTGATTTTTCTCCTTCATTATATTCTGTAATTTTATACTTACATGTATATTGCTATTCATCATATAAAGTATCTCTTGCACGATCTTATGAACGACGGTAAGTAATTGGAAGTGTATGCGGTATGACAATGTTGTTTCAAAGAAATTTATCAAATATGTGATGATCTTGATGTGATTATTTGTTCATATACCAAGTATAGTAAAGAATGTTTATTATTAAATATTGCATTTTAAATTATTTATTATCAAGTCGTCTTTCAGTAATGTTTACGGTGATAAAAAAAAAAGATGAATAAATGTCATTACTCCATTTCTTATTATTTTTAAATCAAAAAAATATTAAATAATAAATATTTAGTAATGACATCGTATAAACTTTCTGATCATCCAAAGACGATAATAGTTAGACGAGATAGTTCAAGGTTACTGTAACATGTAATTTATAAGTATCGCGTGCCACTTATAATTGTAATTACTTCGAAAAGAATTATTATTTTTACGTCGTGACGATTTACGATCAACAGCTGTTGCTTCCCTTGACATTTTTATCTTCATATTTTCATAACATTATTCTTCGACTTCGTAGTAGTCCTGTTATGGATTATAAGACCTTTGTTAATGGCCATTGAAACCTTCGTTATTTTGCTATGTTATGTGATTCCCAATACGTTTGTACGTGTATAACTTTAGATCCGTATCGTTTTCGAAGTGCTTCATCGTTTCGACCCTTCAACACATATCCATATTATTTATCTAACCCCATTCGACGAAGACGAAGTTGTCCTCGAGGTAGGCCGAAGAACGTGACATTCTCGAAACTGTTTTGCTGGAAAAGGTTATAGAATGAAAGAAGGAAGCCTCAGCGTATTCAAGCTGTCGAGCAATAGGTAGTTCTAGTTTTGTAGTAGTAGTCATCGCGTCGTCGTAAGGGAAAGATCGTACCACAAAGAATTTACATGTAGGAGTTTGAATAATTTTTTCTAAGTTGACTTACCTATCTCATTTATCGGTACGATCGCATTGTTTACGAATACTTAGAAACTCGAATGATAATAAAAAACGTTGAACATGCATAGAATTAGTAATGGTGATGTTACATTTTTCCCAACAACAAGTGTACAAATTCAATCAAGAGAACAGGAAGGAAGGAAAGAGAATTATTTCATAGAGGTAACGTTGATTAATAGCACGTTACTCCGATTTAAATTCATATTAAACAAGATTCAATTTTCACTTTTGTTATTAAAACTTGATCTCTTGCAATACCAACTGCAATATACCAATGCCTCATCGATGCATTTTTTTAACGTTAATTTCGTAACTTTAGGGGAAAATTAAATTTACATTGCAAATGTATTCTTGGAGATTTTCTTTCCAGGACATTGCATCGACCTGAAAAATGGCTGCCATCCATCCCTTCCAGAAAAGAGAGTTAAACTCGAATGTACTGGATCCTGGACATGTTTCATTATTCTCTGCACTTCAGTACTGTAAAATTATTGACGTAAAAACAAAAATGAAATATCAGCTAAGATCTCATCTTTGTTTTCGCGATTAAAAAAGATATACGGTCATTTTTACGATCGTTCAAACTCCTACAGCCCTTTAAATTGTTAATGTTACGCGTTAAAGATGAAAGAAATAAATCGGACGAAAAAAAAAACGGTCCTTGATTTTTTGCTCGTAAATCATTCTAACTGTTCATTGTACATGTCTAGAGATAATCTATGCGATATCCGGTATATTCCTTATCGTCCTAGTATTTTCATTAATCTTGATGACATCCGACGATGAACTCGAATACATCTGAAGGATAGCATGATTGGGGATTTGCTTCTGGCTTTAAGTACTCTTTATCTGTATTGAGGGTTCAGAATCTTGTTTTATTTAGATATTTATTAAGATTATCATAGGATTCACAGATATAATCATTAATAGAATGTATAATAGATATACGTATATTCTACATATATTTTATTAGTTATAGATTATTTTTTATATCTGTATTTTATATTTTTATATCTTTCGTTTTTTCACATATAGTTTATATGATAGATCTAATTAATACGATTTGTTTAAATGTGAGTTCAAAAATTTCTATATAATAAGGATAGATGTAATCGTTATGTATGGGGATTTCTCGATCAATAGGAGAAAAGGCGCGTTTAGAGTTCAGTTAGTTTTCCGAATGCTTTAGCAACTTCAACTCTAGTGTAGTAGCGTATTAGGAACTACGCATTTATCTAAAGAACGTTTCATTTTTACTAATTTTTGTTTTTCTGGTACTACCATCGAAATATTTCACTATTCAAAAGGATGTTTATTAAATTGTTATCTTATTATATTAATTTCTTTCCAGAATAGAAAGTTTTGTAGAAGAGAGCTCGGTTGGATCTCGAAGAATGGCAGGATTGACTCGTGACATAGAACCTTTTTTACAAGCTTCGAGACTCTTCGGATGTGGACCACACGTTATAACTGAGGAAGATATTTTAATTACGAGACGTGGCATGATATACACGTTTTTATGGATGTCCATATATTTGAGCACCTGTGTAATCGGCCTCTATTTAATAATCATCGATACTGAACTCGAGTACAAGAGCTTATTGTTGACCTTTGCGAGAACAGGTCTATCTTACATTTGTCTCTTTACCGATGCTATTCTCTCGATTACTTGGAATTGGAAGATTCATGCTGTCTTCGCCCAATTACGTAACTTCGATCGCACCACGAGATTTAACGAACGTCCAACTAAAAACAATAACACTCGTCGCAAGTGCCAAGCTTTAGTTTTAATTACTTTCTTGGTTTGGTTTGCCGTTGGGTATACGAGCTACTGGTAAGATACTCGGGAAATTCTTTTTTACGATATTTTTACGTTCTATGACATTTCATGGCTTCGGAATTATAAGCAACATCATATTCTTATCTATTTATTTCTTTTTTCTGTTTTTATTCGCCATTATATGACGTTAGTTACGTTTTATTATTTCTTATTTTAACGCGGAACTAACCATGGACATCGGATATGTATTTTCTAGGTGATATGTTTATATGATATAAAATAGAACTGATATACAGAAATATCAGTAAATACTAGAATATAAATTCACCGTGTATTTCTTGACAGCTTTAACACAAATTATAATAATTTGCCATATATCTTTTCTCATCGCTTCAATTAATGTTTTTTCATAGTCGCATCGAATTGAATCAGATAGACTTTTTACCTTTAATCTTACAATGTAATCTTCCATTCTTGATTCGTGCGTATTTCTTGCATTTCCTCTTCTCTCTCTCCCCTCCTTCCCCTCTCTCTCTTTCTCTCTCTTAAATTATTGTGAGTATATGCGCGTAGATGTACATGTATATATGTGCATAGTTGCGAAGAATCTGCGCCGATGTTCAATGGGATTACTTATGGGATGGTGAACGCGGCGATATCGATGCAGCTATTGAAATTTGTCGGATTGTCTTTTCTCCTCTATCAAAGATTTCGAAAGCTCTGTGAGATATTGTTACTTCCTGAAGGTAAGTTCATTCCCTGACATGCTATTCTAATTTTTTTCATCGAGGACATTCTCTATTTATTTATTTACGCCTTTTATTTGTCACATGTTACGATCGATTCGAAACATAGAACGAGAAAACGAGATCGCTTCTTGTCTTTTCTATTTTCTTATTTTTTCTTTTTTTCTTTTTCTTCCTTTCTCTATTTTTTTCTAGCTTATAAATCTTCATTTTCTTTATCGTAAATGCATACACACATACACATATACACACTATTTGGTTTCCTCTTAAGACGGTAACTGGTCGTGTGATGTCGTTTCGTCACATATCTTAAAGAAAGCTACCAAGCTCGTTTCTAGGTTGACAAGTAATCGATTGAACCCTTTAATGTTCTTCTACACACGTAACATTGATATATATCAAACATTGTGAATGAAGAATTAATGTACGAGACAAGTTTCATTAACGATCTAAGTTTCACTCTTTTATTATGTCTACTTAATGTTTTTTCAAGTTTCCCGAACTCTACAAGATAATATGTATATATTAAGGTACTTCATTTCGAACTTTAATAATGATTCGTTTTCGTTATTATTCCTGGAACAATTTATTTCAATTAACAATTAATTTGAAGCTACTTTATCAGATTAACTTTTAAATTAAATTAAGCGTTAAACGAAGTACCGTTCGGCTGATATGCTATTTCATAAATCTATTGTAAAAACATTTCAAATGGTATGCATGTATATACTAATATCAAGAAAATATATATATTGTTAAGATATATTAACATATATTAACATATATTTCTAACATATATTTACATCAAATATATCTAACTTCTTTTCCACACACGTTTCATAAAATTTTTACCTTTACGCGGGATCACGTGTGTACCAAATTTATTCTATTCTGTTTCCATAATTAAAAATATTTAGTTTCTCTTGTACACGCAATGGGTTTTAATATAATAGTAAATTTACTGATAATAATTTAAAAAAGAATATTTCTACCTCCGAAAATAATTCCTTTTCTACTGTTTTTATCGCATCAGCGTTTTATGTTAACGTTTATTATTTAATACTGCAGATGGAAAGATTATGGTGTTGGAACGAGCGAGAATGAATTTTCGGTTGGAAGAAATATGGTGGTTACATTGTTGTTTGTCAAACGCGACTCAAATTATAAATTCGGTTTACGCGGCTCCACTTTTCTTTTGGATCATCAGTATGTCTTTTAATACTCTTTCAAGACTTTACACGATCAATGGACGTGACGAATTGCCTACTTTGTTACTGGTACGAGAATCCTTGTTGATTTCTGCTTGTGTCGGGAATCTTTTTCTGATCATAGCTATTTGTCATGCTACGGCATCTCAGGTGAGCTTGGTAAAGCTAAAAAAGAATATTCTATTTGAATTTCCATACAAATAATGCTATATCATATTTGATATTTCCAGGCAAACGATGTCGGAAAAATTGCCTTTTCCCCACTTTCCTCAGTCATCGGAAAACGAAATTTCACCCAGGTGATATCTATTGGAAAAATGTCTTCCTTTTAATTTCTTTTTTCAAACATTTTCGTGTTTGTGTTCTGTTTCAATTTAAAAGTTCTCACGATCTTCATAGAAATCGAAGATCTTTCAAGTTCGAATTTCAAGACTATTCCATTCTACGTATTATTCGTTTTCTTCTAGATTATCGTTGTTCTTCGATAGTTAATTACAGTGAAATAATTAGACCGAAAGATTACTTTTATCAAAGTATTACTTCATGATGTTTGTTTTCGTAGTTCTCTTTTTTTATCTTTCTCTTCCTCTGTTTCTCTCTCTCTCTCTCTCTCTCTCTCTCTCTCTCTCTCTTTTTCTTACTCTTTGTAACCTTATCGATCTGCTTCTCGTAATTACAGGATAACATCGAGGCTGCGGCATATTTTCAGCTAAGGAAAGTCTATTTTTTCGCTGCTGCCGGCTTGATTCGCATCGATCTGTCTCTTCTTCTTTCCGTAAGACGATACGAAGCTGAGAAAGTTAATATAACTCAGTTTTTTTTTTTTACTTAAAAACATATACCTACATAATACCATATTGTTTTTTCATCTATGATCAATAAATATATCATCTTTATTTTCACAGATAGCTTCAGGAATAATGACATATCTGGTGATTCTACATGCCAATAACGTGTGATCTCCTACATCGAAGATGAACTTCTACGTTGATTCCCACTCTACGATTAATTTTCACGTGACAGAACGTTTTGTTGTCATTCTATCGATGCAACCAATATTATTCGAAAGAAAGAACCACGAGTAGCCGGAAAGAACGAAGTGGTTGGATTAAATGAATCGATTAGTTCGATCTAATTTTCATTTAATAATCATTTATAAGCTTCGTTTCACCACATTAATTATTGTATATATATACACACATATATATATATAAATACATATATCATATATCATATATCATATATCATATATCATATATCATATATCATATATCATATATTATATATATATATATATCATGTATGTGAAAGCAATGTTTTGTTAAAGAAAAACTACGAAAAGAATTTTGAAAGATCGATTAATAAAACATTTTCGTAGTTATTGAAACTATTATTAGTTATTATAACAAATACGACGAACATTCGATAGAATTGTGAATTTCCAAGGATTCCCTTGAATTTCAAAGTCAAGAGGAGGAAGAGAAAAGGAACAAGGAGAAGAACTATGGATAGGGTTGACGAAGTATAGAAAGGATGTTAAAGTTGATGTAGTTTCAATTGGCTTTTGCCATCAAATGATATGTCGCCGTCGTAGACAGAAGCAACGATATCGACGTAATGAGATACCTACGAATTTCGCGCGCTCTATCTCTCTCTCTCTCTCTCTCTCTCTCTCTATCTTTCTTTCTTCTACGGTAGAAATTGTCGTGTTGGAAAATTCACAAAGCAATAACTTTCGATTTCTCTTTGTTTGTTGAACGTGATTTCAAATTAAACTTATCGATTGAAGAAGGAATTAAATTAAATTCAATATTATGATTACAAGACTAAATAAAAAAATCATTTGATTCTGTTTCACGATGAATGCATTTGTTATTTTTTTTACGGCATGGTAATCGGATGATTTTTTTATTAATTGAAATTTCATCAAATTACACGTACCACGAATAAATAAATTATTGGATCGTAAAGCTATTAAGTTCGTACTGCCTAAATGATGATGTCGACAACTGGTTAATGTGTGTTGATGTTATTATATTATAAATATCGTATCTCATTGCGGTGTAATATACATGGTACGATTGGATGCAGAACAATTGATTATTTTTAATTATAGAGTATCTTGATTATAATATAAAAATGCGATAATATTATTTTAATAAAAAATTAATAATACGTCTATTTTATAGTAAATGTATATACAGTTTACAACGAGACACGATATATATATATATATATATATATATGTATATGTATATACAGTTTACAACGAGATACGATATATATATATATATATATATATATATGTATATGTATATACAGTTTACAACGAGATACGATATATATATATATGTATATGTATATATATATATATGTATTTGTATATATATATATATATATATATATATATATATATGTATATGTATACATATATTTTGTGGGCGTTTCTATATTCAGAGATAGCCGAGATTAATAAAAAACTAAAAACAGTTCATATTATTATGAAAAATAGTAGTATACAGAATGTTGGTCTTTACTCGGACGTAGTTACGACGTCTCTTTGCCTGTTTTTCTTAAGATAAACTTTATTTATCACTCCGCTGTTCTTTTCTCACGTACGCTCCGTAGCCTTTTTCATCCCCACTCACATTCGTACATATGCATTCGGCTATTCTTATCACTCTTTATCCTATTCCTTGTTTCGTTGCCTATCTCATTCATGCTGCATTCACATTTCACTCTCTCTCTCTTCCAATTTCAACTCTTTCTCTATCTTTCATAAACAATGCATCTTACAAAGGGTAGACCATGACTGGTTCGACTGCCGACTGATTTTTCTCAACACACACGCACTGAGCTAACTAATGCTAGAACTTTCTATCTTTTTGTCCGACTCTCGATAGACTTACTTATCTCATGCACGCATATAGCTAACTAACTCCAGAACCTTCCATCCCTTGTCTAATTGCCGATAGGCTTATCTCATACACACATAAACAGGACTAGCAAGCTTTGGAACCTTTCACCTAAAATATATATATATATTGTATATATATATATATATATTATATTATATATATATATATATTATATTATATATATATATATATATTATATATATATATATATATATATATATATATATATATATTGTAGGTGATATATATTAAGAATATCATGATTATATGTATATATATGTGTAATTACATGTCTATTGAATTAAAAAAATCATATATTGCAATAACATTTACATCAATAATTTTTCGATTGAGCGCTGATTCATTGAGCATCGTATTTGGTGAACCACATCGTAAATATTTTTGTAACAAACGATGGTCGTTGAAACAGAAATGTGACTATTAATTCGTATTCGATTTCGTTCTACTTTATGATCATTCAAAGTCGAGCAAAGTAACGTATAAATATATAAGAAAATCCAAAAGTGAAATATTTTGGTTTATTTTTACATTGAAGATCAAGAACGTAAACAAAAGTAAAATTTCAATAAAAATGAATATCACAAAACTTTACATAATTATCAAGCACGTATGTTATCTACATAATTATCAAGTAAGTATGTTATCTGCAGTATATAAAAGAACCAATCATGTGCAATAAGAATTCATGAAAAATTTATAAATTTTTTTTAAATACGTAGAAACATTAGGTTACCCAAAAAGTATCTAATATTAGAATTTTCAATAATAGAAAATACTACTTTTGTTTATTTAGATATAAAATACCGAGGGTGGCTTTATTAACATTACTTATTGGCTAATCCAATGTATACCTATCGAAAAACGATTCATAAATAATTCGAGCCAATAAATAATGTTAGAATTTTGTGTACAAAATACCAGTGTTGTTTATTTAAAGATATGCAATTCTGAAAATGGTTTTGTTAACATTATCTATATATTGGTTAATCCAATATATTTCGATTGGAGAACTATTCGCAAATAATCTTGAGAAGGTGTCGATATAAAAGATCTTGATTTTCGTTATGAAAGCGCGAAGGATGAAGAAGAGGCGAAAAGATGAAAGACGCAGGCGCGTTCTCGGCTATGAGGTGTAGGTGGGTTCGTTTATACGAGTACGTCGGCGCCTTCGACACCTTCGGCGGGAGTCACGATTCTGTTCCCTTCAGTATGCCACGATTCTTCTTTCTGTTTTGTTGTCGGCGACAACGAACGAAAAAATTCGTGGCACGCGTTGAAATAATAACGGTCGGTCATCGTGAATAAATTTTGTTTTATAAATCCTATTTTTCTTTTTATTTTTTCTTCTCCACTATTTATTTCAAACGAGACAGAAAAAAGAGAAAAGAGAGTGAAGAGAGAGAGAGAGAGAAAGAGAGAGAGAGAGAGAGAAAGAGAGAGAAAGAGAGAGAGAGAGAGAGAGCAAAAAAAGGGAGAGAGAAAAGAAACCATAAAGAAATCGAAATTTCTATGAAGGACCTTGCGATAAAATTAGGATCTACCGAAAATCGAACATGGCGATCGTAGAGGAAGAATTTCTCTCTTTTAATTTTGGTGATGACGGTGATTAGTTTAATGGACCTGGGAAAGATTCTGCGATTATTATAAATGTATATGATGTGTGTATTATTATCGATTGAGGTAAAATTATACCATTATGTTGCGTCAGTGTAAGATAGTGTTCGCTAAAGTGCAATGTTGAACATAAGTTTATAATGAAATTGATATGCGTTATCTGTTATCTGAGGAAAAATTGAGTAACATTTGTTGTGATTTTGTGATTTTGTATAATGTTGAGGAAAAAGTTGTCTTTTCAATTTTATTACGTATCTAATATTTGTTATATAAAAGATATTTAACCCTCATTTATGTTATAAATGAGTAAGTAATTAAGTTCTCCTGGTAATAATGAAGTTACATGATACACAAAAAGATAAAAAAGAATGTATATATATAAGATGTATATATATATATATATATATATATATATATACAAGATGTATATATATATATACAATATATATATATATATATATATATATATATATATATATATATATATATATATATGAATACATATATACGGAGAGAGAGAGGGAGAGAAAGAGAGGGGAAGAAAGAGAGAAAGAGAGATACATATATAATATCCATGGATGAAAAGTTCTAACACGAAATTAAATTTTGTCGATATTGGTAGAATATGAAAAAAAAATCGATATTTTACTTTATTTCTTAGTTCTTTTGTGAAAAAACTTTTTCCACCGGTGAACCTTTGTGGAGTTTTATTTATTTATCGATGAATCGTTTACGATATACATATTTTAAATTAATTAGATATTACGCACTACAATTTTAAATGAAATGGAAGACAAAAGAAGAAAGAGAGCTAATCCGATATTATCACGTCAATCAAATCAACTGTATAAATTGAATATATTCGAATCTTTATTAAAACAAGTTCTCTCATATATAAGGAAATTGGAAAAATTACAATGAAATCAGACATGATCAGATTGTAAAAAACTTTGTTAAAATACATTGCACTTTAAATTGTACAAACATAAGTACTTGGAGATTTATAGTACTAAGATCAAAACAAAAAGTGTTCATTTTTTCGTTTAGTCAATCGATGATTTTTTAAAAATCTTTTTCGATACCTATCGAGTTTTTTAAATTGCTTTTAATCCAATTGATCTTAATAAAGGAGTATAAAAAATTTCATTTCGATTTTCATTCAATTAAGCATGAGAATTTTCTTTTAAAGAAGCAATCATTTTAAAATTAATGATCTTTTAATAATATTCTCTAACAAATCGACAGAACAAAGAAGGAATTACTAGAAAAAAGAAAAGAAAGAAAAAAGGCGCGAGAAGTGCGTACTATCGGGATGAAAATTCACTTCCATTAAAGAAGAACTTGACGTTTAATTGATCGCGAAAGAAAGAATGGAATATAACGAAGCGTACAGGACTCGAGTGTACTTCCTATTAAAGTTTGAACAATACGTTGACAAACGTATGAGTAATAATGGAAGTCAAAGAATTCTATTATCTGTCATATTGAGTTTAGTTTTGAAGAATTTCGACGATATGACGTCAAGACGAAAGTAACGCTTGCACTCTAGCGAATTATATAAATATATATATATATTTTTTTTTTTTTTTTTTTTCTTTTAATATTATACTTGCCAAGTCCTCGAGAAATTCGAGTAAAAAGAAAAGAAGACGCATATTCATTTCCTGATGTTCTTTCAGACGAATCGCATGTTAAAAGATTTCTTTGGGATTTTATAATTTAAAATACATCTGGTGTGTTTTGCTTCTTTTTCAGTCAACCGCATCTACTTTACATATTTTTATACGGAGTATCCATAAGAAATATAATTTTTCTCGAAAGAAAGAAATCCGAGAATTAATTTAATTAAAGAAAATTAGTAATTAACGTCCACTGATTACATTTTCTATATATCTTGAACTTGATCACTATTTTATTCTATTAACTAATTGTAAATCGAATTGATACGTAACTCAATTGAATACTTCCGTTTAATTCCATTTAATCATTTACCATAAGATTATTTACTTCAAGAATATTTTATACATGTGTTTTAGTTATTATTAGTGCTTACGATAATTCATTTAAACTTTCAATTATTTTTAGATATTTCTTAATAATTTTTGTCCGATCACGTCTTCATCTTCTAACAAATATTCATAAGTTCATCGTCGAATCATTAAACCTTTTCCTTTTTTTTCTTTTTTTGTGAAAATAGACACGCCACCTTTTGGCTACACCCTTCAAAAGAAAAATGTCGAAGGTGAAAGGATCTTTAGATATACTCGAAAAACTACCGATGTTTGTATTGCGGTAGCTGAAATTTTCTTTGGATTATCTTGATCTAATCTCGTGGGAAAGAATCTGAGAAAAAGAAAAGGAAAAGAAAGAGTCAAAGAAAGTCTTGAATGTGGATAATGGTGATTATCTCTTGGGATACATAGGAAGTATCTTACCTACGGGAATAACAACTATGACACGTTCGCTACGCGATTCTTTTTGGTTTGATGCTGGAATATATAATGGGAGTACAACAACGATGTCAACGTCAACGACATCGACTATAACGCCGTTTGTTGGCACAACCATGACGACGAATTCTACAACTGCTACTTTTGTATACGATCAAAATGCAATTGTAACCAATATGATGTGGGAACTATACGATAGTTTCAATCATGTACAACCGAATTATTTGCTAATTACTCTTTATGTACCGGTTATCGCATTAGCTGTCACAGCCAATGCACTCGTCATCGCCGTTGTCTTCAAGTATCATTATATGAGAAGGTATGTTTTTTTTTTTTATTATTTCTGTCAATTCATGAAAATAACATCTATGAACGATATACTATAAAAATATAATTGGATAATTTATTTTTTTTTATCGGATTTTGATTCATTAGCTGTAAATATTTATGAAAGTATTACTAAAATCTGAATCAAAAGCGTTACTAAAAATTATTTTATTGGATTGTTCGTGCATTATGTTATGTGATTTTACTTATAACAGAATAATAAAAACTGTCATAATAAGTTCACATAAACTTATCAATTATAAACTGTATAATGTGACGATATAATATACCGATAGCATGGAAACATAAAAACATAAACAAAAAAAAAAAGAAAAATAGATCTTTTTCGTTTTTCGTATATATGAAGATTAAAGACAAATGACGTATTGAGATATGTATTGACAGGTTAATAAAGATATTATTTTTTTATCTGTAACTCATACACCAGAGAAAGTAACTGATTGTCAGTCGAACAAAGTATAATTGAATAATTTTATGGAAATTTGTACATATTATTTTCGATTGAAATACATCGAAGAAAAACGGAAGAAGATTCTATCGTTATCTTGAAGCTAGATAAATGAAGATACAAGCGCTGAATGTGCATGGAGATGAATGAGTGAAAAGAGGAAGAGAGAGAGAGAGAGAGAGAGAGAGAGAGAGAGAGAGAGAGAAGAGAGAGAAAGAGAGAGAGAGAGAGAGAGAGAGAGAGAGAATAAGAGGAAATATAAGGGGAGATCGTCAAACTTTATTTATTTTCGATCATAAGTCAATGTTTATCTAAATCCACGTGAAAGAAGAGTAAAAGATAAAAAAGATAATGTTTTTTTTCTCACAATCAGAATCTATTTTGTTCTCTTTTCCTTTCTTTTTTTCTTTGATGTCGTAGCATAATAGCAAATAGAAGATTTTATTTCATCAGTGATATAATTTACTCCACGGATGTTTTCTTTCTAAATATTATTGATCGTTTACTTGATGTTTATCTAATTAAATCCATATGGAAAAGGAAGAAAAAAAAAAGAGAAAAAGATCTTTTGTCATAGTCTTTCTTCATATTTTTTCTTTTTTTTTTTTCGTTTGATGTTGCAACAATAATAAATAAAGAAGTTACTTTCATTTAAATTAAATTTCGTAGAAATAATTATTTTACTGATATTTTATTCCTAGAATATTATCTATCTTTTATTTAGTTCGTGACATACCCTTTCTCGTTGTTTGTACGTATCAAACGATATTAATAATTGGTAGAATTTTAAAGGACAGGTGATGTCTTTATATTTATTGTCTAATTAACAGAATATTTACTTTTGAAGTAAATAACATTGCGCTTTTGAACAGGACGATTAATTACAAAGGAGAATTTCATATCCGAATAGTATGAATTATCGGAATAAAACATATCTCAATACACAATTACTTTGATAATAGGATAAGATTTTGACAAGTGAGAAAATCGATTTATGAGACAATTGTAATTTAACCGTTTCAATGTGATGGATTTTTAAAAACTTTTGATTAAAACAAAGCATCCCGGTAGCGCTTGTATCAATACATATCGATAGATCCGAGCACATCATTAATTGAATCGATGATTATAAAAGTGATCTAACAATAAGTTAACAATAAAAACACAAAAAAATAACGGTCATCGCTATAGAATTATGAGATAAACTAATTTTTTTGTTAATTTTAACTTATTGTTAAGTCACTTTCATAATCACCAACTCAATTACTCAACACGTTCCGATACTCTGATACATTTCGGCATGAAATGTGAAGCGGGGCGATTAAGTATTTGAGTTTTTCTTAAAATATTTTTCTTTTTTGGAATTTTTTTATACTAAATTTCGTACATTTCTCAGAGAATCGAATGACTTCTCTTCTTGCCAAAAAAAATATCTTTCTCGTAACTGAAGGCTTTTTCTACATGTGTTTTTCTCGCGTTCTTGTCTCTTATTTTTTTCTCTTCCTCTCATTCTTTTCATAAAGTTAATATGATAGATAGTAAATGGATTTAAAGAAAAAAGAATTAGGAACTATTTTTTTGTGAAAAATTTCATATAATAAGTTTTTAATAATTAAGTTAGTGAATTTTGCCTAAATGAATTATTGTTGAGTCATGAATCAGTCTGTGTCAGTTACATGTAGAGATTCTTAAGCGATTAGTATTCGATGAACGATGGAAGAGAAAATTTCTCGATAAAGAACTTGTAGGATGTAGAAGTATTTGAGGATGCAGAAGGCAAACTGTAAAGTGCTTATTTCCGACCGCGGCGGGTGCATCGTTCAAATAAACACTACGTACGCATTTATAATGGACGCACGAATGAACGAACAGAATAACGTTGAAGCAAACACATTGCCGCTTATTTTTCGAACGAAAATTATCGCCTTTGCTACGAAGTCTCCATTTCGTCTCGTCGTCTCAGCCGTCGGTGAAACTACTTTTACATTAACCACACCATTTGGCCTATACTTTTTTTTCGTTAAAGATAACAACAGTGAAATAAGAAGTTACGATAGTCCTTACGAATTAAAACATTTTCATTATCGTCGTTCGATCGTTGATTGAATACGAAACAAAATTTTTATTTCGCAAATTTTATGAAAAATCAATTAATTTGTTGTTCGCTTATTATGAAATCGAATGGATCAATAATAAATTTCACGACGTTTAAATGGAATAAATTTTTTTACACGATATTACAACGGCTAAATTATATTCTATGCCCAATAGAAGTTGTTCAGGTAGAAAAGTATTAGTATATACGTTTTCATGGATACCACACAATTCGATATCAAACGAATTACTATTTCAATTTTTCGAGTGGAAGAAATAGGTTACATATTGGATTATAAATTGTTTTTATTTATTTTTTTTTAATTTTATTTTATCATTTTCTATATACGTATATACATATGTACATATATATTTGATAGAAAACCCAATGATCAATCGATCGTTTGTTTGATTTGTTTTATATAATTGTTAAATCGTTTATCTTGTTCCTGAATTGAAATGTTATTTTTAGTTTAAATTAATATTGTCCATTATTAAAAAGTAATTTTTACGTACTCATTCTTTCGAATAATTTATTCTTAGATAGATATAAATTTAAAGAGAAACGATAATATTATTCAAAAGTCGAAAAAACGAGTCACAGAAAATTACATCAATTTATTGTATCTATTAATGCAAAATTCAATACACGAGTATACTATAAACACCATACCTCTATTTGTTATAGTCAACCTCGCATAGGATCTATTCTATTGACTCTCTGTATTCACTCCATGAGTTGAATTTTATCGCTTGTCATTCTAATGAAGATATACATACACACATAAGCAACTATTCTTTTGTTTACAGTGTTACAAATTATTTTGTGGTGAATCTATCCGTGGCTGATCTATTAGTGACTACGATTTGTATGCCAGTTGCGGCCAGCCAAGCAGTCTCGATTGTCTGGATTTATGGCGAAGTTATGTGTAAATTGTCCTCATATCTACAAGGTAAGTTTATTCAAGCTTTACGATTTCGTCTCTATCATCAAATTTCTATTTGATAAACCGATTAAAATACTTCAATCGTTGACGAATTTAGTCTTTAAATGACATGAAACATTTAAGGCCCGATTGAAATAAATTAATTATACACAATATATATTTTCTCTTTTCGATTATTCATACGAAAGAGGAATAATATATTTCGTCCAAAATTCGATTATAGTCACAAATATAAGTTAAATTTATTAAATATACATTTACATTTTATCATGTGGGCTCCTTCGTCTTCGTGGGAATCCGCGAAACGATCGTCTTCATCTTTTTTCCATAAATCCATCATGATTGATCTTGATAAATAAACCGAGTTAAGTTGAATTAAAAGTTAAAAGAGTTTCTTAGTAATATCGACCAACAATTAATTAAAAAGATTCCATTGTATTTCTCATGCGTAAATAAATTCATTGAAATATTTCTTTTGAAATTCTTTTCATTTTGAAATAAAAGAAAATAGGATTGATCGAACTTATTCTTGTATGTCTATATATACTAATAACTTTCTTATAAAAGAGAATGAATGAACGTTATTTATTTACATATTTAATATTCATTATTGTAAAGCGAAATAATAGAAGAAATAAATGAATATCGTTCGTAAAATTCATCCTTTGTTTTCTGGCGCATGCGCAATTCATCTTTCATAGAAAAAAAATATTTTCAAAGATTCATGATGAATGTTAAATATTATATAATATAATTCCTTTTCCGGTAATATGGAGTTTGACTGATACGATGCGATTCATTGTTGACTTTGTTCTCTTACATCTTGAGAACGGATGATCTATTAGCAAATATTTAAATAGCGTCAAATTCTACGATACAATATATATTTTCCATATACGTAATTATATTACTCATAATAACATAAACAATAAGAAATATTTCAAATGTTCTTAAAACGATCGTAAATCATTTTCTATTGAGTTTCATAACTTCTTTTTTTTATCGAACTTATTTTTCCCTCTTTATTTTATACATTTGCGAACCTGATGATAATCGAACGTTAGATTTATATACATTATAAAAATTACTGAACTTTTTTTTATATATTTTTCTTTCCATTAGCTTTTTGTTCCTTTCTTATTATTATCATTATTTAATGAATATGATACTATCATATCATATTCATTTAGTTTCCAAGGAAATCTCGGCTGAGATTTAAAAGCTCGTTGAAAATTGTTTCTCTTTAATGTAGCTGCTAATCATGAAAGAAAAAAAAAAAAGAAAAAAAAAGAAAGTATAAGAAATATCTATCACGGAACTATTCTAAGGTAAAGTCGAGATGAGGTAACATAGTTCGTAATATACATATGTATATATACACACACACATATATATATATACATACATACCAAATATTATATTTTTCCTCCTGACCTCGTTTGTCAGTAAAATCTCAGTCATCGTTATCTGGAAGTTATCTATTGAGAAAATGTTTATTGTTAGAATATACATTATACTCTCTCTTTCTTTTTCTTCTTCAATGCGAGTTACAGACGAAAGTTGGTTAATAGCGAATGACTTGAAATATTGGTTCAAAATGTGCATTTTACCAACCATGAAATTTTCTCCCATGCTTCGTAGTTGTACGATTTGTACGATTTGGCGTAGCTTTTTTAATGTTAGTTGATTAAAAAAATTTTTTTTAATTGCTCTTTTTACGATTGACAAACAAATAAAAAGAATAAGAAAGAAACAAAGAAAAAGATAGAAAAATAAAAATAATAATTACTAGAATGAAAGTCATCAACAGATTCGTAAATATATTTTATGTAATTTTATATAGCTAAATTTTCCAATTGGTTACAATTTTACAAATATACCTATTATACCTGAATTCTTTCATACCGCTAAGCTTTTTTAACAACTTAAAAATAATATCATGCAATCTCGTAAAGGGAATGAGGCCACGTAAAATAAATTTTCACGGGTGTATTATACTCTGTTATCTAGAGCAATCGATAAATATTAGAACGATAAAGAAAGGAAGTTGATCCTTGACGATTAATCGACTAGTACATAATCGAAGCTGGTTTTTCAGGTGTGGCCGTTGCTGCTTCGGTATATACAATTACTGCGATGAGTATCGATAGGTACCTAGCTATACGAAGTCCTATAGCTTTTCGACGAGTATTCAATCGAAAGAGTACCGTAGTTGTCATAGTTATTTTATGGCTAGTAGCTTTGAGTATCTTCGTTCCTCTATTACAAGGGGTAAGTTTATTATTATTATTTTTAATAACTTTGCAATCGAGTTAATTAGTTTTATCTGTTTTCCTTTTATAATTCCATATATAATAATTTTGAACTCACACAATTATACATCTGCGTTATTATATGTATGTATGTGTGTGTGTGTGTGTATGAATTAAAATATTATTTCATTTCATCGTCATAAGGCAACTTATTGTTATATCATTCTTTTATCATCAAGGAGTTCATTTATGGCAGTTCGCAATTTCTTATTTTCAAATGTATTATACTTAAATTTATTTTGAAATGAGAAACAGTTATATAATAATTAGAAAAGTTTGTAAAGTAATTGTATCTTTTCTCATCACGTTTTTACAAAAATTTCTACATTATCTTATGCATAATGTAATTTTGTAATTCCATATCACGTTAAGTTTTAATATGATAAAGTTTTTTTTTTCTTTCTTTCTGTTATGTTATAGAACCAAAATATGAAAACAGATTTTATACAAAATTTGAAGTAAAAAAAGACAAAAATAAATATTAACAATTATAAATCAAATAACTTATTTTCAATGCCATATAAATATTATTAAGAGTTATACTGAATATTAATAATTGTCTATCACAAGAAGAAGAGATTACATTAAACGAAATTTCTTGAGAAACTGTATACAGCAAATCCTTTAAGTGTTCCAGGAAAAAATTACTTTTTCTTATAATCCTAAAGTATCTTACGTTTGCATTTCCTATTTTAAAAAGATCACTTGATGAAAAGATTATTATAAATGATAACTATTAAAAATACTAAAACATATACGTTTTATAATCCAAATACATATAAATATTGTAACTTCAAAGTTCAAAATCGTTTGTTTTCTTTAAATAAAATATAATAAAGATTTTAATTATACAATTATTAGTTCATTTATAGTATATGTTTGTTAGTTTCGTATTAGTATAGTATTATTAGTATAGTTAGCATAGTATTAGTTTGTTAGTTATATAAAGTTTTATTATATAAAAAATAAGAACTGATTTGTAAAAGATTTTATTATCATAGTATGAAAAACTTTTATTATCGAAAATAACACACGAATTTTAATGGTCGATTGATAAAAACCGACACTTGATCTTCTGATAAATTTGAAAGGATGGCCGTAAATAAAAACAGAATCCTGTATTTATCGATATTCACCAATAGATTTATTTATACAAAATTTGTATTTTATTTCGCTTTGACAGATGACTCTCCAAAGCCCTGGGATGGAACTTGTTAATATTACTTTTCATGGTTCCTGGGCGCTAAAGGAGAATTTTTCACGCAACGATACACGCGCTTCCCGATTGCCGCCGGCTTTCTACATCTGTTCGGAAGATTTGAATCCGCTTGATATAGAGCCTGATTTATTCGGTACCGCCTGCTTTATTTTAGTTTATGCTATTCCTGGTACGTACTTTCTTACAAGTTATATTTATCATATTGAGAAACAAAAGACAACGATAAACGATGAAATATAAATAAGAAAATGACCGAGAGTAAATTTTAGAATGAGTATCTCTCTTTCATACACACACACAAAAGTCGCATGTAAAAATGAATCAAAGATGAGAAATATATACAATGAAGTTTCATTTTCTTATCAAAGATTACGTAAAATAATATTATTGTGTTATGAAATTTATATATAAGATAATTTTTCATGAAAATCGATACCTCTTTATCTCGACGTTTCGATTTCAATTATCTCTTCCTTTGCCAGGTTTCGTCGTGATATTGGCCTACTCTATGATGGGTCGGACCCTTTGTGCTAGGAAACCGCCGTTCGATTGTGACAGTGTCAAGGGTAGTGCTAGCTCTCAACAAGTTAGTAAAGAATAAAGTTTTCTTTCTTTTTTTACTGGTTTGCTGTATTTGAGTTTAACACACGATTGAATGTTTGTCGTTCGGATTACAATACTCGTTGATATCTTATACGTCAATTCGCTTGTAAACACGTACTTCTTCATATCCATATAATTATGTTTATATACCAAATTAGAAAAAGAGATATAAACATACATTCATAAATATACACAATCCAAATATTCTTTTTACTAGTAACTGAAATATATATTTATAATTTTCTAATAAACTGAAATATAAATATATATTTATCAGTTTACTGAAATATATATTTATATTTATACTTCAGTCTATATTTCGGCCGTGAGTCCCATTTAAAGTTCTTTTTTCTTATTTATTTATAAAAAAGGAAAAAAAAAAGATTCAATCTTAGATGAACTAAAATTAGAGATGTATGATACAGGAGCGCTCGGAAAATTTTATCTTGGACAATTCTCATATCTAAACCGGCCTGAAAGCCAACGAGCGGGAAGAAATGTGTCTCGAGTCATAAACATGTTTGAAGCTCAGATATTCTTTCATATTCCATGTGTATGTATTATTTACGATGACGTCAAAAAAGAAACGATTCGGTCTCGTATCACACTTGTGGACTTCATTAAAGGCTATTCAAAAAAACAAATATAAGATGACATAAGTTTTATGTATGAACTATCATTCATGATTCTTTTTTTCCTTCTTCATTAATTTTTTGTTTTGTTTGTTTGTTTGTTTTTCTTTTTTTTTTTTTTATCTTTAAACTAATTTATTTTCTTTGATATTTTTATTGAACTGTTTCTAATCATGTAACACGACGATAAGCCTCTTTCCTCATTCTTTTCAATGAAACGGATAAATGTGATAGTCGTCTTATTTAATAGAGACGGTAACGACTTCTAACTGTTTGATTGTAGAACTTCCGATTGGTACGTGAGAGAAGACGAATCGCTTGGATATTACTGCTTCTCGCAGTGCTTTTCGCCCTTTGTTGGCTTCCTTACAATGTTCTTAGACTGCTCATCGATCTGAAAATGATCAGTGAGTTTTTTGTTTTGTTTTGGATAAAAGTATTTATTTGCTTCGACAAACCTAACTTGCATTGATAATGAGTTTCAAATGAAAAGCGTTTGACAATCGGGTCAATGTGAAACGATTTATTCATTGGATAAGATCAAAACACACATACTTTATATTGGAATTTATTTCATCCTCGAATTTTAATTCGAAATTGTTCAAAAGCTTGACGAAATATTCTTATATAAATTTTTTGACATCGACTCTCTATTAATTGTTATTTATCCATAACATATATTACTAATATATTTTGTTGACTATTCGAATTTGTAATCAACATCCAAATGAATGCAACAGTATATCAATTTATTTCATTGTGATTCAAATAATCAAAAAACTTTGGAAACATACTATTTTCTATTAATCATTTAAGCATAGAATATTTATTAAATATATATTTTGTTAATTACCAGAGTTTAATCAGTTATTAAGCAAATATATTATCAACATAATAATATACTATATAGTTTTTGTTATTATCTCTATATATTACTAGTATGATGAACGAAATATTAATTTATCTAATGTTAACGTGAATATTTATATAAAATAGTTTTCATTAAAAATTAAAAAAACGAATGATTTCTATAGAGAAGTGATAGCCTTTAAAAAAAATGTTAAATAAATTTGATACTATTCACAGAAAAAGGAAAATCGGACGTCCTGTCCTACTGTCTCTTCCTAGGACACGCGAATAGTGCTCTCAACCCCGTCCTCTACTGCTTTATGACACGCAATTTTCGAAGAAGTGTTGCAGAGATTCTTCGACGTGGATCACGTGGATTGGTTCGTCGTAAGCTACGTCGTAAAGTAAGCATAGTTGATCCAGTCTGTTAGAGCATATTTTAAATGAATGATTTACGTTGAACGTGTAGTGAAACTTTTATCTTCGTAACAAATATTAAAGAAAGATTAAAAGAAAAAAGAAAGAAAGAAAAAAAAAAGAAAGAAAGAAAGAAAGAAAGAAAGAAAGAAAGAAACGTCAGAATCCTTTCAGTACGTGAATGAATTTCAATTTATTTTTAATTTCTTCGAAAGCTTTCTTCAAACTTCGTTTAATAACAATTTTTTTTCTTCTATCATTGGAATTAAGTTTCTTGGAATTGAAAAAAGCTCTCGAAATTTCTTGTAACACGTAAAAGGTATATAGAAAGCAATTAACGTTCTATAAATTTGTCATCAAGTACGAAATGAAGAAAACTTAATGAGAAGATGGATACTATTGACGTTTAAGTATAATGTATATCCCGAAGCAATTAATTTCTTACTTTAGGAATTTTCTCACTATATGACTAATTATATAAGGAATTTTCATTCCTCTGTCTTATATTATCTTGTTGATTTTATTTTAAAATGAAAAATATCAGTATGTTGTAGTAATGTTTGTATATTCGCTATATACAAATATGTTACAAGTGTAATAAAATAATATCTCATCGTTATAATTATTTGTAAATAATGAAATCTGAAAACGATGAGAAAGAGAGAGAGAGAGAGAGAAAGAGAGAAAGTATATGTGATGCATGTATGTATGCGTGTGTGTTAAAAAGTTCTCAGAGTTAATTATTTATTATTCTATAATAATTACATATAATGGATATTTAATATTTATCTAAATTGAAAATCACTTATTTTTTAATAAATCTTTTGATTTTTCATTATTTACAAATAACCGTAATGACAAGAAAGCTATCATTATTATTTCCTTGCTTGCTTTTAAATAAATATCACAAGCTAGATATCTTTATTACATAGAAACATTAATGCCTTCCAATAACAATTCATTATAAGATAAGCATAGAGAGATATAACAAACAAAGTTTCTCCAATAATGCCATTTATGACTGCAGATATATCTTAATTATACTAATTCTCAGTAATATCTTTTATTTGGAAATATCAACGAAACACAATAAATTCGTGATTTGATATTCAAACTATTTGAATACAATACATAAAAATACACTAGTTTATATTCGTTCTGGATTTTTAATGGTCTTTATTAATTGTAAAACTATCATTTTAATTCCTCTTGTTATTTATTTTTAAGAGAATAATCTTCCTTTTAATAACGGATGAAATTCTATATATCCACATTTTTCTTAGATTTTTTTTTTGAAAAATATATTTGAAGTATGCAATGATTTTCATTGAGACCACTGTTCTAAGTGCAAAATTGATTTCTTGTTATTTGTTATATTAAAATCATTGTTTTTACGTTTTCCAGATTGGTCGAACATTTCGGATTTAACGATTGGATCGTAGATCAATTTGTCTAGACATTTGAGGATTTGCTAGGATTAAAGAGGATACTGTGAAGATGAATAAAGCTTTGATATTAAAACATTGAATTTGTATCAATGAATATGTAGACATATGTATGCCTGTGTATATATGTAGATACATTTATCTTACGAAACTAAAATTACGAGTGAGATTTCGAATTATCTAATTTGATTTGACCATTTAAACTTTGAATTTTTGTATATATATATATATATATATATATATATATATATTAATTTATATATATATATATATATATATATATATATATATATATCCTTTTTCCTGAGACAGGGAGAAAGAGAGAGAGAGAGAGAGAGAGAGAGAAAAATTTTAAACCGATATATCATTTCGTTGGTATTTCTCTACGAAATCTTCTTTATCTTTTTCTGTATTTTCAATTTATCCATTCACCGTGAACTGTTCTGCTTTTTTTCAAGAAAAGTGGATGATGCAAAAAAAGCTCATGCATGTTTTCAGCAGTAAAGACTTTTTATACACCTTTCGATTTTATTTTTTTATGTTGAAATCTTAAAAATCAATTCGAAAATTATTTTAAAGAAATGTAACTAAGCGTGTGAAAATAATTGAAAGAAAATAATCATTAATTTTTAACTGTTTTGTTAAATACAGAACGAAATATGTATATTTAATTAAACGATAATGTTTATACCCGGTAAAAATGAAATAATAAAGAGAAACGATATTTAACTTTTTCTTTTACTTTAAAAAATTTCATTTTTATCGCTTTCTAATTTTTTATATTCAAATGAAATTTTTAGAAATCAGATAATGATCTGATAAAAATTAAATTACGTTGGAATAAAAACTCGGATGGATATACGTAAAATAGATCGTGTTATTTTCAATGCTCTTTCTCTATCATTTTATTTGAGAAAATATCTTTTTTGTAAGATATTGTTTTCGCAAGAATGGATTTGCCAATATTTCGTTTACCGAATATCATTTTGCAACGGTATCAACCTTGAGTTCAATTTATCGTTGTAATTTTATCGACAACAGAAAAAACATTAATAACAAATTTATCACTGTGGATGTCTTGCATACAAAGAAGAATCTTTCTTTTTCAATAAATTTCGTGAAAGAAAAACAAGAAAGTTCAATGTTATTATTTCGCAAGAGAAATGAGTGAAATTGTTAGATTGAAATCACGAGACAGTGATAATAATACCGAAAAATTATTATTTGTTCTTAGTTAGAACTTAGTCAATAAAATTGTTATTGCATAGTTATTTGATATGTTTGTCTGTCAACTTTTTCTTTGTTTCTTTTTTTTTCTTTCTTTGTTTTCTTTAGCTTTTTTTTTTATCTCTTTCTCAATAATTTTAATCTTTCCTCTCAAAGTTACTTATACACATTCGGCTCAAAGTTTTCGTACACAGACCAATTAAAAAGTTTGCTCGGATCCTTAAACCAGATTCGTGATTAAGTGATCTCTACATATAAATTATTTAACAGGACAATTAAAGAACGTTACATACGAGAAAACCAGCAATTTATAAAATTTATCTCTCATTGACAAATCTACGATTATGACATATATCTGTTTGTAGAGTGACCTGTTTTCAATTAATGCATAACGTGTCATGTCTCTGAATATGCACTATCTCGTCGGACGATATGTGTCAATAGAAATTGATGAAGGAAAACGAAATGTTAAGCTCGTATCCGTAGACGATGTAACACAATACGAATGTTATCTCGTTTAGCGATCAATTTTCTTCGTGAGATACATTTAAAATCGTATTTCCTGATCGTTTTTGATAGAACTATTATGTTAAGATAATTTTTTTTTTATTTCTTTCCTTCTTTGTTATTTATATTTTATAATATAAACGTAAATATATAGATACATATAGGGAAGAGATAGGAAAAAGATTATTTTTATTAGATGACAGAATGCCTAATATGTGACAGCGATATTCCAATTCCGATTGATCGTTTCCAATGTTCGTACAGAATGGTAGGCGTTTTATCGTGGAATTTATATGACCGCAGGATAGCAAATGTTCCCCTAAGTTAAGAGCCCGCATCTTATCCAAGAGGGTAACTGTGAGAGAGAAAGAAAGAGAGATTATAGCGATTTCATCAAGCGACACCCTAATATGAATTCCAAATGTTCAGTCTTTAAAATTATAGTGAATTCGTGACGAGTAAAATATTTGTATTGCCAAAAATATTGTTCACTAAATAATCATTCAAATCTACAGTGAAGTAAAATATAATATTGAAGTGTTTACTAATTATAAATATTTTATTTTTAATTATATTTATAATTTCAAAAAATGTTATAGTTATAATTTTATTGAATTCACATGAATAATAATTCTAATGTTGATAATAATTATTTATATGTTTTCTATTAGAAACATTAATTCCATATCAGTGATTAGTCCGCGAAGAATATAATTATGAATTTGATAAAATGCATAAGTAATACGAGTTATTGATTTTTAATCTAATTTGTTTAACGGACTATACTTTTCACGTACAATTTGATCATTTCTGCGTTATAATTATTCATTTCATTTACATTTTTATGTCTTTCAATGTACAAGTAAAGATATAGGAAAATCTAGATATAGGAAAAAAGGCAAATTTAAGACATATTAGAGCGTAATAGTCTACTTGTTTCATATCGAATTTAGTATCTATGGAAGAAATGGGAGGAAAAAGCAAAAGGGTGATCGAAACGATAAGGGAAAACTTTTTATCTTCAGAGAAGCATTTGATTTAATAATAATTAAACTTACGTTTTTATATACCTTATCTTTTAATTTCATCTTTCTATTAATAAACAAATGTGTTTAATTCGTCGTATGAAATAATTCATATACTTTTTGTTTGTACGATTTTTTAATGAAATTTATGAATAAAAATCGGAAGCTAATAAGCATCGAAATGTTATCTATCTAATCTGTTAACTAGAAAAAAATTACAAGTATAATTACCAATTAATCCATCTATAACACCGTTAACACTTTCAAGTCACACACTTTTATATCTGTATTTTTTTTTCGGTCAAAAAACCAATTGTTAGTGTATATTTCACAATTAACGTTATATTATTATAAATTACACATATTATATAAAATTTTTTTCTATATTTCAAAAATCATTGGATTATAGAAGAGTAAATAAAAGGTCAAATAAATTCTATCGATTACATACTTTCTGAATATCTTGGGAATATTTTTTCAGGATGTTCACCGAGGTACGGATGATGCATGTGGTGGATGTAGCACAGTTGGTGACACCAGACGGAACTTTTTGCGTCAACGAAAGATGTTGCCTGCATGCTGTATACCAATGGGAGGCCACGAAACTGCAACGTCAAGCAGTGGTTATAACAGTTTCTACAGTAAGCAGAGTCCTCATCGTCGTTGTTACATGTTGAGAAGCATTCGAAGTACACCACAAATGCAGTTAGAATCAAAACCAGTAGACATCATTCAAGATAGACATCAGAGTTATGACAAGAATGATCCAGATGCGTGTCAACCACGACAATGTACCGTTGTTACTATGGACGATCGACGTTGTACTTAATCCTCTTCAGGTAAATCCAACTCAAAATTTAAACTTAAGATTTACCGAACAAATTTAGAACATATGTACGTATATGCTTTAATTGATGTATCATAATTAATTAATTCATACATTATATTTTCCCATAAGTTTTCAAAATCAAAATTGGGTTTTTACAGTAAACGTTTTAAATTCGATAAATCTTGAGATAACTCGTCGTTTAATAAGAATCATTCGATTGATCTTTATTGCCGATGTTTACCAAAATTCATTCTATTGACGTGTTGTCGCTAAATATGAATATTATAGATCGCATGTGAAATGTTCTACGAAATGTCGGACAGAAGCAGAGAAAAATAAAGACGATTAGCCGTCTAGAAAGGTAGAAAGGAATTATTCTTTCTTCCTATCTTGAAGTTTTACGATATAACGTAACGTGTAAAGTTACAGGCTATGGGCAGAGAAAAGAAATTAACGCGAGAATGATCGGGAGTTTTATGAGTTGTTCTTACGAAAAAGAAAACGACTCCCTTGTCGTACCTTCTTCTTATGTCCTAGCGTACTCCCTTTATTACCGTCGTAATAGTATACGAAATTAAACAACAAATTATTCGGAACGAAGGGAAAATCGATCGAACATTAGTAAGCATTGAAAATATTTTCGAATTATTAAAATTGAAAAATGTGGAAAATAATTGATATTGTTTTCGTCGACAAAGACGAGAAGTGCTATTAATTAAATTCCCCTCAATGTATATTTACATGATTATACTCAAAAACAGACTCGTATATACACATACACACACATAAACACATGCGTGCCCACAAAGGAACACATGCACAGTGGAAACTTTTTTATCTGATAGGACAGTATCGATAATTACGAACTGTTATGGCTAATCCATAATCGACTAAGCGAAACTAATTCGAGAAAGGAAACAAATTACAGGGCAAATAAAGTAAGGAGTAAGAACAATCGAATTTACGACAAGTTTTAAGTGATAAAGATTTCTTCGTACTACCTTAGATTTTATTTTTGAGCAAGTATTTTATACTCGTAGAGAATAGCGAGTTTGCGGTATGCTAACTGATTTATTAAGTCGACCAACTGTGCGAACTTATTTTATGTTGTTTACATACTAAATTTTTATTCCGATCAAGTTTCTCACCATACAAATGTTATCGTGAATAATTTAAAGAAAAAAGAAAAAAGAAAAAAGAAAAAAGAAAAAAGAAAAAAGAAAAAAGAAAACAAATAAACCAAACGAAAAAAAAAATTGCAGGTCGATGTATATTTTTAACGTAAACTCTATTACTTTCGATCGATCGATGAGCCAATAAATACGACGATTTAACATCTTATAGTGCTCGCGTTATTCGCCGTAAAGTTTTCATCCGAGCTTTTATTGGTCATGTGAAACGAAACCCGAGCCGAGAATATATCGTTATAGATAGTAGACACTCGACGAACGTGTATTGAAAAGAGATTGCTAATTGGATTATCGACTAAAAGAAAAAGATAGGGAGAAAAAGATATGGAGGAAAAGATAGAGAGGAAAAAACAGAGAGAGAGAGAGAGAGAGAGAGAGAGAGAGAGAGAGAGAGAGAGAGAGAGAGAAAGGGAAAGAATTTCGAAGAAATAAATAAAGAATCATATCTGATTTTGTAATTAATTGTAAGACGACGACGATTTTTGTTATAAAAGCTATTTCGATGATTTTTCTGATTCTCGATAAAATATTATCGATAAACTACTCTGAGATTCAGGAAGATCAATAATATTATCTACTACGCATCGTGTAAATATTTATTCATGGTATTTCCGCTTCGACGATACTGCAAGCTTGACCATAACGTTGTATATTACGTCGAAGAAACGAGTTTCGTTTTAAACATTAATTACAATGTATTGGAATAACATAGTGAAAGCTAAAGTATTGACGAATTTGGGAGATTCTGTGTACTTTACTTTATGTAAAGCATATCGTATCGTGTATTTTGAATAAAGATTAATATATCATTAATATTCACGTAAAATGGGCTTAAGCGAATTCATTCAATTATTAGCTTTATTTACGATCGAGTCGTAATAAAAATTTGTTTTCTATTGTTAATTTCAGGTAGAACGATAAGAAGAAAATGATTAAAAAAAAAAAAAAAAGCAAATAAATAATAAATGATAATAAATTAGGTCAGAATAAAAACGTGTTAAATCTTACAAAATTGTAGAGTTTAGAATCTAAGAGATTTTTTTCTTTAGATACTAAAAAAGAAAATATGTATAAGGAAAAGAACGATTGAGAATCAAAGGATGTTTTCAAGTTTCCTGCTATCGAAGCAACTCCCTTCTTGATTCGAGAAACTCGAACGTGATGCCCTTGTTACGAAGGGATGAAAAGTTTTAAGGTTTTCTAACGCTTTCGTCTTTGTCCATGATATCGCAAATCGAGAAACGCACATGACGAATTCTCTAAGAATTTACGACGTTTCCCATCACTTTTAACTTCTAGAACGTTCAACTCAAATATATGTTTCGTTGTATTGCTGACAATGAAAGAGAAAAGAAAACCTGAGAAGCCATAAAGGGATCTCTTTCGGGATGCGACACAATAAGAGGTCTCCGAAGATTTCTAGTATGTATGAGAGCGTTCGATCGTTGAGATAGAACGTTGCCTGATGCCGTACATACATGAAAATGACTTTTCCTTCGGAGAAAATAAACGAACGAGAAAAAAAAAGAAAAAAGAAAAAGAAAAGGAAATAAAAATGAAAGGTCACGTTTTCTCGAAAGAAACCTGTTTATAACTATTTCAAGATTGCGATAGAGAATAGAACGGGTTAATCATTTTCCAAGATGTACATATATATTTCAATATTTTTCATTCGTTGATCGTGTTAACTACAGGATTATTTTTTTTCTTTTGTAGAAATGAAAATCCATTTCGTTGAAACGTGCCTCGTATTTTTATGTTAATGAATAAAAAAGTTATTTTTATTCATATAATTTAATTGCAACAACGTTTTCTCGAACATAGCAGACGATATGTTTTATTGTCTTTCATTTTTCTTGCTTTTTTACTTTTTTCTTTTCATTTATTTTTATTTACTTCTTTTTTCTCCGCCATCATTTCTTATCTTTGGACTTTTTTATTTTCTTTTTATAAAAAAAAAAAAAAAAAAAAAAAAAAAAAAAAAAAAAAAAAAAAAAAAAAAAATTATACTTTACTACATGCACTTTTCTTTAGACGACTTATGCTCTTGATTCTCTCTCTCTCTCTCTCTCTCTCTCTCACTTCAATATTTCTTTTTTACGAGATCGATCGATTATCAAATTATATTCTTACGGTGATTTACCAAATCCAAAGGACTTATAAAAAGATTCATAAAAAAGTCTTTCAAAGTACGTTATATAATTAACGTAATTCTTTACGAATGATTTATTAAGCTTTGTCATTTGACTTTCTCGCGCAAGATGTATTAATGAACAATCACGTGGACGAGTGAATATTAAAAAGCTATTCTAATTGTAAGTTATTCCATAAAGATACACAATTAAAGATGTGAAAACATCATGCAAGAGAAAGTAACACGGAGACGAAAGCTTCTTCTTTGTTATATATATATATATTTTTTTTCTTCTATCTCCATTCGATGTAAACAGTGTAATATACTTAAAAATATCGACGTATGAAAATTTAGTACTTGTAATTTCACGTTTCTAATCTAACGTATTGGATATCTGTTCTTTTTTGTTTATTTGTTTGTTTTTTCTTTCTTTTTTTTTTCTTTTTTTTTTTTTAAGAATGTATACATCTATCCAGGACGAAATGACTTTCGATGAAGAAACAGGAGTGAGTACGATGATTTGTTTCTGTGAATTTCTTTAATCTATCGAAAACACGATTCTATCTGTTGTTCAGTTTTATTACAGAAACGAATCATTCATTTCTCCCTCTTTCTTTCTATTTATTTTTCACTATCACTGTTTCTTTCGGAAGTTCCTCGTCCATTTATCACCACTTTATAATTCCGTTACGTAAATCCTTGTAAACCGAAGCGGTAATAATACCATGACTTTGATTGGTACTATCGATAGTCCGCGAGCTAATTTCTACCGAGTTTTTATTTTTATCGAGAACACTAAATCCACCGAAACTGTGTCTCATTTGAATCTTTGATATCTCTGGTCTCTTCAATGTTGAACTTTTAAGATAATAATTATCGATAGGATTAAACTTGTCCGTTTTCGACGTAATTTTTTCCAATCCTCGAATTTTCTTTTGACGATGATGACGTTGCTGTCGCTGTTGCTGATCCTGTTGCTGATCCTGTTGCTGAACCGATGATGAATGAACCGGCAACGTCTGATTTAAATAATTTCTAACGATTTGAAATTGAGAAGTCGACCGTCTAGGAGCATAAAGTTCAGAACTGCTGGCACTTCCTCCACTGTTACTGCTATTACTGATCCCATTCAAAATGTTACTATTGATCGGAGAAGTCGTTACGAAGTGCCTCGTTACCCTGTTATTATTATTATTGTTGTTGTTCAACATCGTAGTTAAATATTTAGTATACCTTAGTAAACCGAGCTTCGAATCGTTAGTCTCATTCAATGACTTCAACATCGTCGTTTTCGACCGATCGACGTTGTTTACTATAGGCGGGCGTTGATGCAGAGTCGAATGCGTTTGCCTATCGCATCCTCTTCGTAGTTTCATGCGTGACGTTCCTCCTAATTGATTGCATCTTATATTTGCGCCATACTGAAATAACGATTTTTCAAAATCGATCAACCAGATTCATCATAATTTCTAATGACTTTGCGAGACTAAATTTATAATAAAAAAAAAAAAAGGAACTAGAAAAAGAAAAAGAAGAATAATATAAAGTTTAATATATACGAAATATTTAGATAAATGTTCGTAAAAAATTGAACGAAATATTATTAAGCGATAGTTCATTTAACAAGGATCATGCGAATAAAAAATGCGAAAGTGAAAAGATGTGCGAGAGCATGCACGATACGTGTAAGTAGTGTACGATACCTAAGCAAATCCCACGCGACAAGTAGCCTGTAACGATATAATCGTCTCTTTACTATCGTAAGAACAGTAATTACGAAGAGAATAAATAGAGATAAATAGACAGATAAACAGATGTGAGGATGAAGGGAGGGAAAGAGAAAGAGAGAGAGAGAGAGAGAAAGAGATAGAGAGAGAGAGAGAAAGATCGATCCAAGATGAGAGGCTTCTTACCGCTGTTACTTGATCTGACTGTATGGATCTTTGAGATTTTGATAGATGTTGATTTTGTTGACTCAAACAAAGACAACTTTTTGTTGTTCCCCCTGGCAAATTTCCTAGATGACCATTCGAAAGATTATAAGAGTACTGAGAGGTCGGATTTTTACCTGTAATTGAGCAACGAGCAAAAAATTTCAAATCCATTAGCTATTGAAAACCTTTTAACAGTACTTTAATATAAATTATTATTAAAATACGTCAAGTTATCGCGAATAGAATTTTATTGTAATGAATAATGAAAATTCTCATGACCGTCGATTTTTGAAAAAATAATAAAAAACAATATGAATCTCACCGTTGTGCCGATTATTCTTTGTATTATCTTGTAACGATATATTCCCTGACGTACTTATCGTCCTCGTTTTGCCAACTCGAGCACTTTCGTCACCTGAACGACCTTGCGATGTCGTTATTACTTTTCTGTTTGCCAAACTTGCTCGTGCTTTAAAAAACGGAAGTGTATAATCCATGACGTTAATAACATCGACTGGAAATTTTGTTTTCAATGATAATAGAGAGACGACGAATAATAAAATTAACCGACGAATCATTTTTATACGATGTGATAATCAATTAAAAAATGAACGTTTCAAATATTATAATTTTTCTTATTTTATCTTCGCCCATGTTCAAAATTAAGAAGTTATATATAAAACTATGAGAAAAAAACGTTGAAATGAAATATAAATCTAAAAGATATCAAATCGAAGCACGATTATCGATAATTGAATTCGAATGAAGATCAATTTTATCTTAAATAGATGAAATATGAACGTGAGAAGTCATCGGATTGGAACACGTCGATAATTTAATTTAAAATTTCATTTTAAAATTATGTTCAATTAAATCGACGAAACGGAAAATCTCGATGACAGTGCTGTACGAATCTTATCTATTAGTTCTGTCTACTTTAAGCGAAATTAAAAATAGAACTTATCGATAGATACATATAACAAATCATTGTTTTCATTCTTCCTCTCAACTCGCTTGTTTTTCTATAATTCGTTGAAATAATTTGGCTTATTTGTTTGTTATTACCGTTTGTTCGTTGAGATGTCTGGAAATTATTTTTGTTGTTATACAGATCACCGCACGAAGAGCGAAGATTTTTATTTGTTATTGCGTCACCTTGACCGACTACAAAGTTTCCATTATTTGTAGAGTTGTAAGTTTCCTTTCTGATATGTTCCGAAAGACGTCTAACTCTGGCTTTCGACCTACATATATATGTATGTATGTAAATACACGTTTAACATTGATTCGAACGAACAAGAAATTTCTTTTCATGCAAGAACTTAAATTTTCGATAGAGTACTTATTGACAATTTGACAAGTTTTTAAACATTTTCTATTAATAAAGAAGACAAAATTAAATAAATATAAAAAATGACAGTAAGGTACTCGCATATTTTTATGTTTCCTATGTTTCTCATCCATCATCGCATAGAGCTTATTCCTGTATTCTTCGACTGAAAGTTGCACGTCGTCCCTCAACAATGGTACTACGCTGGTACTTCTTGAAGGTTCGTTTCCTCTTCTGTGAAAACTGGAAAAAGAAAAATATTTTATTACTACTATCGAAGTTACAATGGACTTTACGTGTACATCTTAACAAGAAATAATATTGTCGCGATTCGTTCTTATTACGATAAGTTCACTTGAAAATGAATTATTTTGATTTATATTAAATTTAACGAAGAAGTTTTATTGTTTTTATCGAAAACATATTTCTTATTCAACAAATACTTTTCAACAAATACACAATTTTTATTCGAGAAGAAAGAATAATAATTGTAAAAAAGAAAAGAAATTTTATTTAAAAACAAAATAAACGAAAATTATTCTCGCAAATAAAGTTATAATAGAAAATAATCTTTAACAAATAAAATTTTATTTACTAATACAATTTTTATAACAAATAAAGTTACATTTAAATATGATTGCGTATTAAATATGATTGTGAATAGAATTCTGATTAGATCAAATATTGTAAATTTGTTTTTTAAATATAATATTATTTCCGTAATTGTTATGCCCGAACATTATTGATATTAATTTTAACTATTTTTTTTTTGTTCTATTTATAATGAGTCACGGACAAGACAGTGAGAGCGAAAGAAAAACAGATGGAAGAGACAGAGGGAGGGAGAGAGAGAGAGAGAGAAAGAAAGAGAAACAGAAATTATTAAAGGAAAATATATTTTACATATGTGTAATATTTACCTAGCTACATAGGTATGCTCCAGAGCTTCTACTGCCGTCAATCGATGCGTTGGATTGAACACTATCAGATGACAAATAAGATCTAAAGCTTCTTTCGATGCATCAGGCAATAAATCCTTCAAGGAACGTTTCGGGCCAGTTGGGCTCTTTTCCAACAAATTAGTACCATAACCAGCGCTAACCGAAATCAAATCTGAAGGGATAGAAAATAAAAGGAAAGTTTCGTTGGGATGAAGTGAAAATCATTGTGCTTTATTCTTTTTCTTTTTTCGAAAACCTCTTTGAGATAAAGGATTACCTTCTTCCGTTGGTGCTGGAAGTGTGGCCATTATTCTTTCGACTTGATTTATCGTCGATGAACCAGGAAATAGCGGTTTGCCCAGCAACATTTCACCGAGAATACAACCTAGAGACCACATGTCGATGCCTTTCGTGTACCTTAAAGGGGAACGTTTTGATAAATTTAGAAAGTACATATGTATATATATATGTGTGTGTGCATATGTATATATATATGTGTGTGTGTGTGTGTGTGTGCATATGTATATATATATGTGTGTGTGCATATATATATATATATATGCACACACATATTATATATTACATATTATATATACATATGCACGCATATATATATATATATATATATATATTGAGTAAGACATTCTAATGAATAAATTAGCAAATTTCTATTATTCGATATTACTCTTTTTTTCTGTCGTTATATTAATCTTATGAATTATTCTAATATTTTTATTAAATTTCTTTTCTATATCCTTGTAAATAACGATCATATATTTAAATGTCTAATCTTAAATGTAATAATTCAATCAATAACTATTATCAAGGAATGATATGTTAAATCGATTCGTCGCGTTTCATAAAATTGTTCCGACCGAGATATGGATGTACCTTTTCGAGGCAATCAGTATTTCCGGTGCACGGTACCATCTCGTAGCGACGTAATCGGTCAGAGTTGGATCGCTTCCGGTTTCACCATCCCCTTCACCGATATGTGTGACGGATCGTGCTAGGCCAAAGTCAGCTATCTTGCAATGGCATTGAGCGTTCAGCAAGACGTTCGATGGCTGTTAGATATCATTTTAGTATGATTTATTTGATATCGATTTGTTGTTAACAGTCGCATATTTATCATCATTATGCATTAGAACTTCTATGTACTGACCTTCAAGTCTCTGTGAATGACGTTACCGGAGTGTATATACTTGATAGCCTTGAACAATTGATACATGATGAAGACCTTATGGATGTCCTTAAGGATGTTGCCCTTCTTAATGACGTTGTGGAGATCGGTTTCTGAGGAAACGGGCCGAAACGTGTTTCAGGCCAAAAGTCTGAGAAACGACGCATGTGACCTTTTTGAATTCTTCTTCGGATCGGGAAAAACTCACCCATGTACTCGAATACGAGATAAATATCCCGATCGTTGTCCGCCTTGTGTAGACCGATTAGTCGTACGATGTTCTCGTGATTCGAAAACGATAGTAGAAACATTATTTCACGGAAAGTACGCTGTGCGTCTGTTTGATTTCTAAATGCATCGAAGATCTTCTTCACTGCCACCGTTTCCTTCGTTTTCTTTTCTATCGCCTTCCATACTATGCCGTATGCCTGTTAAAATATTTTGTATATGTTTTCTATTCTATTTCTTTTTTTTACTCTCTTCTTCGTTCATTAGTATTCCCTTACGTAAAATTAAATTACATATTTTTCAATTAAATAAAATTAAATTACAAGAGATTTTGTTTTAACAATCTTTCATTAATCAGATAAAAAATTAATGAATTTTAATTTTATATTTTTGGTATAATTAGAAATAATATTTTTTTTTGTTCCTTTTTCTTTTCAAAGTTCAAAATTAAAAGTTATTTTAATAATTTCTGATAATAATTTCCCCTTTGTAGAATTTGAGATAATTTTACTAATTTGTCTATCAGTCTATGCGCAAAAGTGATATTACAAATTTTAATTAATTCTAATAGTTTAATTAATTCTAATAGTAATTTGATTTATTAGTACAAAGCTAATAAATATAATTTATTTTGTAGACATATAATTAGAGAAAAAGAGTATACAAGAAAACGTAAAATACGTGTACCGAATGGTAGACAAGGTCAAAGAAGAATGTCGGAAGTCAGACGACAAACGACATTTCTTTAAAACGACGTATTCACCTCAACGACAAATCCTATTAGACGAAGGACGTAAAATTCCCTTGACCTGAATGTATCTTTCCCCTCCTATTCTACATCGATCTACATTTGTGTAATTGTAAGAGTTGTTTACATTTTTTCTAATTTTCGAAGTATCAGTAGAAAGATCATAATGATATTAAATATTTGATTCAATTAATAATATTTAATTACGTATTTTACTTATCCATTCTATTGGATTTAAAAGTTCTCAAATATATTTATTTATTTACTTTTTTTTTATCATCGATAGAAAACTTACAAGATAAATAAAGTTTTGTTTTATCAGAAAAAATGAAATATGATAAATTAGATGAAAGTCGAACAAAGATAGGATGTCGCGAATTTCTTGGTTTTTTTAATCATACCCTTTTTAAGATCAACATAATTATTTTCAACGTCATGCCAAGAATGTCTTTGCTTGTAGTACTTCACTGATCGATGAATGTTCACGGGACGTTCTTTCTCGCGATGACATGAATTGATTTTTTATGTATCGAGTTAGGCCGTACGTTCTCATTATATATGTATGTATAGTTAAGCGAATGACGAATAATAGTTTTATTTTTGTAGCGACAGTGACGGCGATGGCTCCAAACCGTTTTAATATCGATTGTCTCCAAGCTCGCATTTTCTACACAATTATCGATTATACTATATCATCTTTAATTCACATTTCATTTTTTTCCCAAGGAAAATGATAATAATTAATATCATTAATTAAATTCTTCGAATTAAACTCTTTTTCAGTAATATTCTTTGTCTAAGAAAAAAGATCTTTAAATGTAAAGACTTTTAACTTTTATAATTACTCGAGATGAGAAGAAGTAATGAACAAAAAAAAAAAAAAAAAGAAAAAAAATACAAAGATATAAGAGAAAAAGAATTCATATAATTTATTCAAAAACATTCTTTGATACGAGAGAAATATACATTCACCGTGGTTTATTTCATTTAATTAATAGTTAAAAATGTGATGTACTAATGGGCTTTCAGATAAAAATAAAAAAACAATATACGAAAACAAGGTAATTCGTACGCGTTTATCGCATAGAAGGAATACAAACGAACACATAAGAAGTAATGCCAGTGACCTCTACTTCTCATCGTCCATACACGTGTTGTGCTTTCATTATCATGTTCCGAGTAAAATCTTTGATACACTGAGTACGTATGTTGTGAAAAATTTTTGAAAAAGAAAAAGAAATAAAAGAAACCTTGACGAAAAAGAAAACATGCCAATATAAAAATACAAGGAATAACATTTATACATATCGTATTCATGATACATCAAAGAAAATAAAATAAAATCTAATAGAAAAGAAAAAAAGTATTGTATGAAAACAGAAAAAAATTATTTATAAATATGATATTGCGTATTAAAATGAATGTTAAAGGTACATTAAAATTTGGAAGAAAAAGAAAAAGAGAAAGAGAGAGAGAGAGAAAGAGAGAGAAAGTAGAATTCGTTGAATTTTTAAGAGATAATAACCTGAAGAATTTAAAGAAAGAAATAATAAAGATAACACTAAAAAGCAGGATGAGTCACCCCTTTGCCGAGACGTCGAATGATGTCGTACTGATTGCTGACATGAGCGTCGATCTCAGAAACCTTCGTGGTGTTTTTCTTGGCGGACATCGTACTTCTGACGTTGGACGTTGTTATCGTCGTCGTTTTCGTCCTTTTGGTCGTCGTTGTTAGTATTTTCTCGTCGTTCAGACTTTTTGAGTATAGCTCACGAGGGATTTCAGGCAGAAACGGCGCTCGCGGGACGCGCCGCATTCATGTCTTCTTACACATCGGGAAAGGAAGATCCAATATGATCTAGTCCGACAGTTTTTTCATTCAACCTCTTACACGTCAATGTGCTTGTGTTTATAGAATTCATGGCGGTTACCACGACGACATGTTCAGTACCACCCACGCCTATCAACGATATCGCTTGACCGAGCTCATACGATATAAGAGGTAGGGATTACTCGTATATGTAGGGGTTAGTTAATATGTGGAAGGGGAACGAGGAAATAAATGTTTCTCTCTCATTTTATGTATTATCAGAATAATAATAATTCAAAATGATTCATAATTAATCGTGCGAGATGACAAAAAATTCATTTGATAAAATTTTTACTTTAATGCGACATAAAATTGTATTGTGAAATTAATTAAAATTTTTCTTTATAAGTATTATTATGAAATTATTATTATTATTATTATTATTATTAATAATACTTATTATAAATACTTGTTATATAAATAATTTCGCACATCTGTGGTGTAATGGTTGGCATCGCGGTATCTCTCTCTCATCTGAAAGATCCGGCTTCATTTCCCGGCACTGCCTTGACATTTTTTTTAGCAGGTGATGGGTCTGTAACTGGGTTGACTCAAGTTACTATACAATCCGGGTGTCGCTCACGTTGGTAGCAGAACGGTAAATAGCAACGATCAGCTAACATCATTCATCCATCATAACGGTGTAGAATGTAAAAGGGTAAACTTAATGCACTATTTTCCTAAGAAATCTGGTAACGAACAAAATATTTAGAAATGAATAAGTATGTATACAACAAAGGAACTGCAATAATTTTTTTATAATACTTATAACATTATCTGATTCATTGTAATAAAAGTATAATATGATTTATTAAAATAATATTTTTTTTTTTGAAAGATAAGATGCTTATAAGGTTAAAGTTTTATAATAAAACAGAACTAAGGTTGGTTATATGACCAATTAAAGAATGAACGGTATAATGTTCACAATTTTTGAATCAAGAGATTTATGCATTTGAGTTGAAAAAATGGTGACAACGAATATTTTTCATTGAGAAACGCTGCCAAATACATACATGTGTTTGCCAGCTGCGATTACAATGTAGACCTACGGAGTTTAAGAGGAAAACGATATTGTAATGTTTACTTTTGTGAGGAAGAGCAACGAGTTTCAATAATCTGTTGAAGCTCAGAGATATGTATAATATCTCTTTAAACAAGACATTTATATTTTTATAAAAGTAATTCTGAAATAACGATAAATATATCAGTTCGCTCGAGTAGAATATTTTTTCTTGATTTATATTCCTTTTTCCTGACATTTATTATCAAGGAAAATATATGAAAAATATAATACTGCTACACGTTAGCAGAGAAATCTTATGATTCATCATTACGTTACATCTGCTTACAGAATATACCCATTCCATTACGTGATAAGTAATCGATATAGTCAACGATTTGATAGAATCATAGAGAGTACGTTATTAACACTATGATAAAAAACGAGATATAAAAGTAAGATAATCGATCTTTCTGAAACACGGTTAACACGATCTATATTCAAAGAGTAATGAAAGGTAAAGTATTAACTTAATTCATAAGCTTATCAATCACGCGTATTATACATAAATATATATATACGTGATAAAAAATTTATACGGTGAAACGAAAAATCCCTGCGCATACGCATATTTTATTTCCCTTTCAAGTTATACAAATTGTCCCCAAATATCACTCCAATTTCCCTCAATATACAATACACAATTAAATTTAATAATAACGTGACAATATCTTAATTATAATTATTATTATATCTTTTTTTTTCTTTTTAAGATTTAAAGGATATTAACGCGAAACAAGTAGTAGTATTCGCTTATAACGAATAGAATTTTTTTTCCTTTTTCTTTTTTTCTTTTTAAAGATTTTTAACGAATGTATATAGAAGAATCAAACGAATTAATTCGTGTGAAATCCTCAAGATACCGTCGTTTATTTAAAATATTCGGACCGTAGAAATGCGCTCTGTGGTCCCAAAAACAATAGCGCGAAACACGCTAGAATTTCACTTCCTGGGCTGTTGAATGATAATCGGACGCGAACAGTGAGCTGGCCGAGCATCGTGCGTCGGCGTTGGTTTTTCATGAAAATGTTGTACAGCTTCCGGCGGAAAATCAGCATTTCCCTTCGCGGGAACACCACTGATCATCATAGTCTTTGGCGGGCTATAAAGTATTCATAACAAAACAAAAACATAAAAAGAAAAATTAATTTGTTATTGCATTTTACACCAGTAAGGTGTTATTCCTGATAACGTACAATCATTTCGAATATATTGATCTTGAGACAACAACGTCATGACTTTAAATATAGCGATATCAGATAACAGTAATAATAATAATAATGATAATAATGATAATAGTAGTAATAATAATATACTAAGCGTTAAATCATAATAACAGTGAGCAAGTGTGAGGCCATTTACGTTGCATTTACATTGGACTTGCGCAATCTTTTTGTTGAGAACAAATACGTGGAAAACTTCATTGGAACCATTTATCACGCATCTCTTGAAATATATTGTAACTCGTACATACACAATTATGTACGTGAAAATATTACCACCTATTGCCGACCGACGATTCTGTGGATCTTCTCTCTTTCTCTCCCCTCTACCTTTCTCTTTAGCCGGTAACATCACGTTTCCTCTCTACTACTTTACGAATTCTTTTGAAAAATGTGCTTATTTCGACTCGATTTGGGCCGAAAATTAATATATCACAAATTCATTCTCCGACTTGTATCGTTATTATGATTTATAATTCGATGTATAAAGGATGAAAGAAAGAATAAAATAATAAAATTATTATCTGACAATGTAAATTTTAATACGACGTATTTTCGTTACCTGCTAGAAGGTCTGCTCTCTTCAACGTCCTTGCTTGGCTTCACATCTCGATCCTCCTTTGGTGTTTTATGTTGAGTAATCCTCATTCCTCCTGCTTTCACTGAAATAAAGAATTAGGATGATGATAATATTATTTTTTTCAATTGGCCTTGGATACATGTTGACAGGTGCATTATGACGTCGACATTGAATGGTGCTTGTAAACACCGTTTAACCTTTTTTAATGGGATAAGTAATTAAAGATTTCAATTAAACTAACCTGCTGGAGGATGACCGCCTTTCAGTTTACATTCCTCTGTACTCGACATATTTCGTGTCGGTATGTAGGCTCGAATACACTGGAAATTCTTCGTATACGAAAGTACAATATGTTTCTCGTCCGTTGTAATGACACTCCTCACGCCGTACTACGCGTTGCGGTGGTCGACGTCAACACATACGAACATTGCTAGTATCGATAGTGGGGAGTATACAAAGATCGCGCCATTTTTGAATCGTATATAGGTTATACGTTGTTAATATAGATGTATTATAGCGTCAAAATTTTTCATCACTCGAGTTAAATAATATTACGTTAAATAATATAAATATAAGTATAGAAAGAAATAATATAAATATAAGTATAAGTATATAAGTATAGAAAACGAGTTCGTCAATAAAATTTATATATAATTTTGCAACTTGTATAAAATTTAAAGCTATTTTATTGAAATTTTGATTATGATGCATAGAATTAATATAATTATTTTATGTGTATGTGCGTAAGGTTAGAAATTTCATGTGTTCTGTAACGTTAAGGTTAATTGTTAAGTATTAATTCATTTTATAATACACAAGGAACACAAATCGTGATTAACTTCAATTTGAAAGCTTTTGATGAAAATATTCCTAAGAATAATATTTTATTAAGTGAAAAGGGGAAAAAAAATACAGTATGTTTAGATTGATTACTTGCTGCTTCCTGCCAGTTTTTGGTCTTGATACATATAATGCAAATCTTTGCAATCTTCATCAGAAATATGTACCCAACCAGTTGATTTCATATGATATACTGTAAAGGAAGAATTAAATTAATACATAAAATGTTTAATTACAAAATTATTGGTACTTACCTCTTACTATACCACCAGAATATGCATCTCTATGAGTAGCATGATAAATTGCTCTTCTTCCTAACTCATAAGCTTCTTCATCTGTTAGATCCCAACGATAACCAGAATCTAATACACCAAAGGCATAAATAGAGCCAGAACCTACGCTAAATACTTTTCCTGGTGTTCGAGTACCTTCTGAATCAATGTAATACATTCCAGGACCACGTTTATCCCAACCCGCAAGCATCATACCTGGAGAAATATCATATACATATCCACTAATTTGAATATTATCTTTTTGAATAGTATAAAAATATATATAAAACCAAAAATGGTTTTTTCGATATCTTACCCATGCTCAAACCCATCCCTTTGTAATTATATACCATGTTTGACAATAGTTTACTAGCAGCTGCAATTGAAATACGTTCTCTATTTCTTAATTCATACATACGGCACTGTTTAGCTAAAACACGATCCCAATAAACGCAATCTGCAGCACCACCAGCCAAAGTACCAAGAAGATAGTCATTGATCTCCACTATCTTTTTCATTGTTTGCGAACCTATAAAGACATAGAGTTGTAGTCAATGTACAATCTTTGTGGATTGATAATTTTGAAATAGATTATTACCAATAAATTGCCCTCCCGTAGCACGGGAATCAACAGCCAATATGATACCGCCTTGGTATTGAAATCCCAATGTAGTTGTTCCATGATCAAATCGAATTTTTATATGTTTCCCAGTTTCATCAGTATTTATAGAAAGTTGTGCAAGACTTTCAGCAGGCTGAAAATTGTATATATGAAACAATTAACATAAAAAATTATATAAAATTCTTCTACATGACGTAGCAAATTTCAGATACTAATTCATTAGTGTGATAACTCATATGTCGATACTTGCGTCTATATACGGTGGTACGGCTAATTGAACATTATTTATAAAGTTTCTTGTGTATTTCTCGATTTCACCTGGTATTTTATCTGTTTCTTGCATAGAATTAAAATCTACATGAGAACTAAGACCACAAACTTCAGCAAGCGCCATGTTCATACGAATACTGAATGCATATAGCATGTCATCTTGCTGTTTCTATTTTACCTCTGTAGGTGGCATTGGTGACTAATGAAATGAATTTGTATTTAATAAGTTTATATAATTTAGTTAATATTAAACAATTTTGTTATTACAAATCATTCTCGCTAAAGAATTTCTACGATTAAACTATTTTCAGTATATTTTATAATTAGTGATAATAAATCCATTTTTAAAAATGAACGTACAGAACGAATGGACCAATCACCGTTAAAAAAGGAAATAGTCGTTTTAGATGAGCCAATTGATTCTTCGATATTCTTTTTTTCAATGTTCTTTCTATTCTAATTGGATGTTTTTAATATGTACTCATAAAGAAATAGTTCTTCTTTTTTTGTTATATTAAATTATTTTGTCATAATGATCAAGAGAATTTTGATAGACTTTATTGATAGGAAATTTGTAGGAAATTATATAAAAGCTAAAAAATAATATATATTATTTCACAAATTTAATCGTATATCTTATCTTGTCGTGTAAACTGGTGACCCCTAACAACATACAATTTAAGCTTTTAGTACAGCAACCGAGCGAGTATTTTTGAATAGTGGGAACAGACAGCACGTAAACACGTAAAAAGAAAACGAATGTTGGCAAATTGTCAAAAAATCAAAGATAAATACACAAACAGGTAAATGAATTTCTTCTATACGATAAAATAGCTCTTGATTTTTGTTTTATGTAACAAATTTAGGAAGAATCATTAATTTTTATTTACTATGTTTAATTGTTTTTAATTTTTCAATTACAATAATTAATAATTAAGTAACATTGTTTATATCTGTAACTATTTATTATTTTATTCCGAATCGATGGATTTTTAATTTTCAATTAAAATAATACGGTACTGAGGTATCTTATTTTATGAACTTAATACAATTTAATTATATTTGTTAAAATGCTAGTTGTAACATTTAAAATAGACGTTGGCAAGATCACATTTTCGTTTGACGTTTTAATTTGAATTCTGATTGGTCTACCTGAAGTTTTCCAATCATTCAATTACTTTGGAAGATGGAAACAAATGGAAAAAAATTTTGATTGGTTAATTTTTTTTACAAATCACTGAACAACCAATCAGCGATCGATCACCATTTTTTTATGCGATTAACTCTTACACTTAAGGAAGTCGTCAGAATGACATCCGCTCTTTCTAAAAAAAGTATAAGTTTTCTTAATATTCAAGTTATATCTATTTTTAATTTATCAAATCTTGATAATTAAGTATTTTACTTTGAAAAAATATGAAAAGTGATAAAATCTTGCATAGAAAAAATGTAATTTTCCTGTTTTACCATACAGTGTACGGTGATCTGAATGATTGATTTGTGAATCTTTGGCCGGAATGAGACGTGAAGGTGTACGATCGACGATTTTACGTAAATAATTGATCTACCACGACGATAATCAGGTAAGCTTAATAAATGTATTAATTATTATATATCATTATTAGAATATGTACATATATAAAGGAGATATTATAAGTACAATGTTGATGCGTATATGCATATACATATATATATATATATATATATATATATATATATATACATAATATACATAATATACATAATATATATGTATAATCCATATTATTCGCTTGTATGTATACAGTAAAGCACATCTATCATTAAATACATAACTTTTTTTTTTATTTTAATGAAAAAACAAATCAAGGGAACACATTTTCCGTTGAAATAATATCTAACGTTTATTCATCGAATCATCGTAAAATAACAAAATGATGAAGTTATATTCGATAAAGTCTACGCTAGTAATACGACAATGAAGATTTTTCTCTAGTTCCTGTAGCTTCTAATAAAGGCGTCCTTCGTAGCGCATTAGTACATCTAACATCCAAGAGGTCTATCGGAGCACGCGTTAACATTCCATCGTGCATCGTTCTATGAATGTTGGTGTGCTGTCTCATAATAATCTTCCTTTCACTCTTTTAACGACCTCATATATATATATATATATATATATATATATACGCATATATATATATACGCATATATATATATACGCATATATATATATATACGCATATATATATATATACGCATATATATATATATATATATATATATACGCATATATATATAGGTACATAGCTCTTATACATAATATCTATATAGATATCTATCATACTATTATACTATATATAGATATGTATATAACTAGTAACGGAAAATGCAGTTATCGACGTTATATAGTTGGTACAGTGCAAACTTGGAAAGATACGTTTCAAATAGTATTTTCATGAGTCACGGTAACACCTGCAACAGTTCAACGAGATTTCTAATACTTTTACTTATCTATTCGACTTATGCCCGTAAGGTACTTGAGAACATCTTAAGTATCTATTTTATTGTTCGACTGATGGATCGATGTAATATGAACTAACTTGAGTGCTCTCGACGTTTTGATTTAGTCAGAGAACTGCGTCTTCTGGATTTTAGGAAAAAAATCCAGTAAAATGTTCTCTGACAATTTCGTATCTGTTCGAAAACTTTGACCCTATAAAGAGCCCTCTCTCTCTTTCTCTCTCTCTTTCTCTCTCTCTTTCTCTCTCTCTCGTTATATTGTCACGATGATTACAAACACATTATTTTTATATTATTGAATGTTATATAATTAGACTTGTTCTTTACGTATTTCATTTTTAATCGTTTATAATAAAATGGACAAATGTAATTTTAAAAGTAACTGGATATATTGTATGAAATTACAAACAAGATCCAACGTCTTCTTCACGCATTATATGAAAGTTATTCTAATGAAAAAAATTTCTTTAAGATCGTATTTTTGCTTTATATAATTCGTAAATGGATAACTTCTCCGTTGCGTGCATTATGGCCTCCATTATCAAATAATTCGTTCCTTTGATATTTAAGATTTTTACTTATATTTGTCGATGTAAAATTTAATACGTAAGCCGTAAGGAAGAATACACTAATCAGAATCGACTATACATTTTCGACTATTAAATGTAAGCCGTTGCCTATGAGAAATTTCGTAAGGATAAAATCATTATAGTTCACGTTTTATGTATTACGTATGCGTGCGTGTGTGAAGGTTATTAAATTCATCAACCATTACACCATACTTGAAAATAAAAGTCGTGCATAGTTCAAGCGTAGATTTTCTCCTTGCACCTTACTCGGTATATAGGATAGTTGATAGGTAGAATATTGGTATTATAATCCTATATTTGTAAAATAAAATGTCTTATGTTACTTTTGAGATATCGTCGTTTAAAAGTTCTAAATATCAATTTTTATTAATTTTTTTTCAAATATATATATATATATATATATATATATATATATATATATATATATATATGAATGTAAAAATACGAAATTGATAAAAAAAAGAAGATAAAAAACAATAAAAAGAAACAAGAAATGAAGGATAGAAACGATATGAAATCGATAAAAAAAAAATAAAAATAAAAAATAAATAACAATAGAAAAAAAATAAAGACAGAAATAAAAGCCATGTAGCTTTTATGGTGTATGGTACGAGTTATGGTGATGTCGAATGGTGGGGATAGTTTACTATCGTCTTACTAAAGCAGGCAAATAGAGAGGTATCGGTCGCCACCAGTTGCTCACTTATGATTCATATCAGTATTTTTCAATCTTTACTAAATTTGTCTATAATGATATTACGGTATAAATGTTTATAATGAAGAAACTGATAGGCTGGAGCCATTATACATTATTTTAAAGATATAACTTGGATATTTTTTTGAACTAGTAAAAATATTTTACGAATATTTTTTTTTAAATCTTTTAGAAATCAATTACTTTTCTTACATTGGCAGGTAAGATAGGAGATATCATTTAGTGGGTCATTAAAAATTTAACATGATCCATAAGTTGATAAACGATTGATTTATATCATTAAAATATTTATAACAAAATTTTATTCTGAAAATAATCGAACAATTTTGTTAAAATATTAGATAGTAATTAATATTGCGGTAGACAAAATGTATGTGCAAAATCTCGTTAGATTTAGCTATGCCAAATTTTTGCAATAATCATTAAGATAAAATGTATTTACGAATTGAAACATTCAGAAAACTATAATGATTCGTTCAAAACTTTAATCAGAATTGAAAAATTCCATTTCTATCGAAAGTTATAACGAGTTAACGCTTTATACGATGACGATTGCAAAAGAGATTTTTAACGGTTATGCTTTAAAAAATAGATATTTATGGAGAATTTAATCACAAATATTATTGTATCGGGATGGTGGTATTGACCGAAGTTAAAAAGAAATCATTGAAACTAATGTGTTCGACACGCGCCATATATTCTATCTCTTTTTCTTTTACAGTTGTATAAATAAAAAAAGAGAAAGGAAGAGAGGGAGAAGGAAAGAGAGAGAGAGAGAGAGAGAGAGAGAGAGAGAGGGAGAGAGGGAGAAAGAGAGGGAATGAAAAAGATTTGTAATAGGTATCTCGTAATTTATAGTAGGCTAAGATAATCGATTATCCAAGTACGTCACTAAGTGATACAACAGACAAATATGTTGGTATGTTTCGAATAGGAAACTGTTATTAAGTATCACGTATTATTCTCTTCTTTTGTGGGGTCAGCGATATGACGTATTTCTTACTGGTGGGGTCACGTGTACGGGGGTAAGGCACTGAAAAATGCCACGCTATTGGTCCGTTCCTACGTCGAACCACCCATAAACGCGAGAGACGTTATCCGTGTCTTCGATAACGTTATATTTTCTTTTTGATTCCGTTCTCTCGAAAGATCGCGATGTTTGCCGAACGTTTTCAAACGTTGATAACGATAACGAGCCAATTGACTTTTTCCCTCTTTCTCTTATTCTCTCTTCTCTCTTTCTCTCTCTTTCCTTCTCTCTCTCTCTCTCTCTCTCTCTCTCTTTTTTTCATTGTTTTCTTCTCTTTTTTATCTTTCATATATTCATATGCTCTTTTCTTTTCTTTTTTTCATCTTTTTTTTTTAGTCAGATACAATCAGTCGTCTCAGTACAAAAAGTAATTGTTCAGCTTTGAATTTAAAAGATTAGATTGGAATCTGATCTTGATCGGTTTTTATTATACAACTTAGGTGGGAGATATAAAAATGTACGATAGAAGGAATTAAAATTTGATTTAGCATATATAATAAAATGATGGTAATATTGTGTTTTATAATGATTCTGTATGTATTGTATTAACATTGAGCTATATGTGGTTTATAGTATGGCTTATATCTCCTACTAATCAATGTGGCACCAGAAAGCAAATAACGTAGCGTTGTTTTCATCGTAGTTTTACGTTGTTTTCTATTTATCTATTGTATATTACGTACTGTATACTACGCATATATGTATATTATAAAAAATTGTCGATTGGTACGGTAATAGTTAATTCATTGATTTTATATTTTTCGTTCAAATTCGTGAAGTCGAAAAAAAAAAGAAAAACAAAACATTACGATTACCCAAAGTATTGACCTAAATGACATTGCGAGTTTTCCGTTTTTGTAAAATCTCGACGCTTAATCGATAAGCCATTGCGTTGTTCGTATAGAATGGTTGAGAGATCAATTTCCACGAGTAGAAATATTTTAGATAGCCTCAGTTATCCTAATTGATACGGTTATCTTTCGAAAATTTTCCGACATTAATTTTTAGAATTTCTTTTTAATGACCAACGCGAGTGCTTTTTATTTTTCCCTCGACGAGCTCGAATTAAGTGACTCTGATTTTTCTACAGCTATTTATTAACCCTTAAATGAAGCATTAAAACATATTGAATTTTAATCCTTTGCGATCTAATCATTTTTTAATTTGGTCAAATAATTTTAAACGGTCAAATTGTGATTTGATTTTCTTTTTTATCTTACGTATAACTATACTTTGAAAAGAATTATTAAATAAAATTGCTTTATTAATTTGCTTCATTGAATAAATTAACAGTCATGTGTCTCAAAGATGACTTTAAAATTTCATAATAGAAAAAATGTAGTGTTATTACGTCAGCAATGATTTTGCATTACAAAGAGTTATTAATAAAAAGAGTACATAATTCTTGAAATAAATTTATCACAATGTCTAGTAAATATATTTTACGATATTGTTAAGTCAATTTTCGATTTGTCTAATATCTAATAATATAATATTATTTTCTAATTAATTTTTAAATATATTCATAAAAAATATTATACGTAAAAAATGTTAACTTATTTTTTGTTTGAAATAAAATTTCATAGATAGGAAAGTTATAACAAAAAATAGAAAATAAGAAAATCTTTGGGATAGATACCTGAGTATATGCATACGTATGTATATACGATAATGCGTAAAAAAGCATAATTAAAAAAAAAATGTAATGTGAATATATTCGAACTTCTTTGTTTAGATGTCGCTAGCTTT